TTATGCATGCTGAAAGGGGTGAAATGAAGAATTGGCAAACCTTGGTGTTTTGCTTGCAGCAAATAATAGCTCTGTCATCTTGCATGGTGTGTGAAGCCATATGATCAAGAGTACATGTATGTGGATGTATCATGTACATGTACAGTAAGTACAATGCACATGTACATTCACAATCTCGAAAGTGGACCTCGGAAGTTCATGTGCGTACGGTACATATGTATGGTACTTGCACGTGACCTGTATTTTGTCACTAAACTTGCTAGTTGGTGGTTTCACCAATCAAAAGCTGTACCTTCTAGTTCTGCCAACATGAGCACGTGCACTCTATCCTACGTAAATAAAACATAAATGTATCCTGTTTGATTTCTGCTCCTGCCTACGGTGCACTTACATACGTGTACGTGTTAAATCAGTTAAATCAGTTAAAATAAATGCTTTCCTGTTTGTTCTTTATGAAGCACACACTTGCTTGTGGGTTATCATATAAATTCAGACTGTAACACAGTCTTATTTCACAGTCACGTGATGCTGACCAGTTCTCAAAAATAAGTGCAACTGCTTTATTTACAATTGCATGCAGTTGAAACATCACCAATACGAAGTGGAGGTACGGAGAGAAAAATGCCTCTTGGACTGGCTCCCCTACATGTACTGCTGGATAACGGCTTTAGATAATCCTTACCCAAGTCACAGGTATTTGTTTCTAATTGGCATGGGTGGTAACCTTGCCCTAGAAAAATATATTCACCTACCGGTACTGACATAATCCTAACCTGCGCCTGTAATAAAGAAGCCTTTTCCTGTCTTGAACCTAGACTGGCTGTCTCGGTCTTCCTGACTAACCTCCTACTGCGTATCCTCTTCACCCTAGGAGCAACTGCTGCTCGAAACTGACGCCAGATTATTGAAATTCTATATCGTGTAAATATTCCACTGATTCAACAGTAAAGCAAACAGCTCATTATACTGAGAAAATGCTAAAGCATTAATTTCAACTTTATAACAGTACTGTAGTAATAATACCAAGCAATGTATTGGTTAGTGTAAATTTTCTAAAAACAGCAAAGCTAAATTTATATTGCTAGTTATTCGAAGTAAAGTTTTCAAGCTTAGGCAACATTGAGAGTATTCAAAAAGGATTTGAACATTTGTGCACGGTACATGTACGGTAACAACATGACCCTAAATTTTTGTTCATGACAAGTTACATGTACACCTGTAGTTAAATATGCTCTTAACCCTACAAGAGTCCCCCACACCTTTTTTCCAATATCGCTGCAGTGAAATTATTTTAAGGAGCTGAGCCTTTAGGAATAACTCTTCATAGTAATTTTGACACTAATTTTGTGAAAATCGAACATAGCGTTGTCGCGAGGTGCCCAGTTTTCCGAGGCAGGTTAGCCAAAAATGTATACATATACTTTTCCATTGTACATGTTGCGCTCAATGTGCATGGGCTGGCACAGGTGTAGCCTCGAAGGACTGTAACAGTAAAACCATCTTATGCATGTACAATTCCACATTTGTAATCGTAAGGAGTGTCTTCACATACTCGCTAAGATAAAAGAAAATATCAAGCGTGGCACAGCCGAGCTCTTGGAGGGGTGGAGTCTGTATCCCTCCCCCTCCCAGCTGTGAAATGGGGCAAACTAAACCATCTTTGAGGGTTGACCAAACTCTAGTTCTACAAATAACCATTTTAAAGTTGAACAGTGTGAGGTTTTAGCACCAGCAATCAACTATAAGATTCTTTAGCTTGCCAGAAAGGCACTCAAGTGTTAATGCTGTTTTAGACAAAGCAGTGAACTTTCCAAGTTGATTTTTAATGACATGCCTGTTAAGATGTTAAAAAATTCTTCTGAAAGCTACTCACAACCACCAGGCAATGTAGGGATGTAGTTAATCAAACCAAAAGACAAACAAAATCACATCAAGCAAAACAACAGTTCTATGAAATACAACTAGCTAAAGCTAATATAGAAATTTAGTACATGCACAAAATACTGTACATGTACAGTACAAATATCTACAAGGTCACTTTTAATCATCAGATGTTGTTGTAGACAGAACAGAAGATATCAACTGCATGCATAATATAGTGGTGTTATTGAACAGCTCCTAAAACTAAAATGAAACAGAATTACATGTGCATGTACGGTATATTGCCATGGGTATAAATATAAATCCAGAAAGGATTAGGTTCTCTCTACAAATTTCAAAGACAATTAACAATTCCAATGAACAAAACAGAAATTAAATCCCAAGAACAAAAAGAAATTAATAGATATACATTGAAGAATAATACATGTATGCTGGCTCCTGTCACACTCTTCTACAAATTCTACATTAGGATTAGTTACTGCAGTATGGAGCCAACATTAACACTGGAAAAAGTAAAGAACGCAACACAACAAAATCAATGGAACTTTATAAGTATCCAGAAAAAAAAGTTACCCCAAAAAAAAAAATATGAAATTTGATTCAAAAGATGAAAGAAGAAAGAAATGCTTCGAGGCAGAACTCACATCACGTGATTTGTGGAAAAGGCGAGAAAATGTGAGGAAAAAAAAAGAAGACAGGTCAATATGGGTGATCGGAAACAAAACAGAGAGTTTGAGGGAAAAAGAAACCTGCTTGTTACACATTGCAAGGTGATTAAAAAAGCTCATTTTGGGGAAATGAAGGAAACCGCAATGCACTTTGCACCTCAGCCTTAAGATTTGATAATGCAGAAAAGAAAGGATGCCGTGCAACTGTCCCTATGTACATGTACTACAGGCATTTGCAAAAGTTTAGGACCACCCTTACAAAATGCATTAACCAGAAGAAAAACCAAACTTAAACCAATCAATTATGGCAACTTGTGTTTATTTTCTATGTGTAACCTCAGTATCTTAGTTAAACAGCACTGTGACTACACTTCCATCATTCGAAATGTTAACAGTCTAATATTTAATGTTCCCTCCTTTTCTGATTAATTAGACTGGCATTTTTTCTAACCCATTCTGCCTTACAGACAAAATGCCATACAAGACCTGCCTTCGCAAAAAAAATCATTTAAATGGGTATAGCACTACACTGATGTTATGCACCACTGCAAAAACATGTTCAGTAATTGTTCAATGAGACAATGTAATGTAGGCCCAGTGACAGAAACACCAATCAAATTCCAGGTGGTCTTTAACTTTTGCAAATGACTGAATGTTAGCGTGTATCCAAGTCAAAATCACTGAAATGTTTGTTCTACATTTGAATCATCCTCCTTTCTTCTGTATGGTTTGCGCTTGAAATTAAACAGTTTGGTAATGAAGCTTCAAATTGGTTTGACAGTGTCCTTGGCAAGTGTATAATTAACTCAGCACTGCAGTGGAGAAAACAATTGATTGGCATTCTAATACGGGTAGTCTCTGGAAATTTAATATAATTTAAATATGGATTGGTATGTGTACAAAAATACTGTAATACATGTACATGTGTAGATGAGCACGTCAGCAGAAAGTCTTCCTATCCTTTTATTCCAATCAACATCTCTCTCTGGTAGCAGGGTTCAAGTGTAATGTGTATTCAAATCAGATTATTAAGAATATTAACTTTGGCACATGTACGCGATTCATGTTGCAACTAATCTAGGGGTTTCATTCTCTCTGTTTGTGTTCTGGGTCTTACCAAACCAAATACCGTAGGCAAAGGAAAGTTTTCAGTTTGAATATGAAATTGCAAACAGCCAAGAACTTAAAATGAAATTTACATTTCAATGCAAACACAAAACCTAAATGAGAAATATGGAAGCAATGAAAAATGGAAATGAAAAAAGAGGTGACATCTTACACATGCATTTTGCAAGATTGTTAAATCAACAGCATGCCCACATCTCATTGTGTAAAAAATAAAACAAGAAAATTTAGAAAGAAAAGTGCACACTCACTGGAATAGGACTTTGGAGCAAAAAAAAATCACATCCATTTTCATGACCACCAAAAAAAATCTAACTCGATGAACACTGTGTTCAAAGCAAACAACATAATGATTTTTTTCGCCAATGAACAGCAAGAAAAATAAAAGCATGCACATCATCCCAGCATTCCTGAACTGTTCAGTTCATGCAAGCATTCTCTGGCATTTGCACATCAAGCAAGGTGCATGTATACGCTTGCATTAAACCCTACAATCTTTTATACTGTTCTTTTTTCTTGGGTCAGTTTAGTTTTAGTTTTGCTTATTTCTAAGAGCATGAGAAAAATCTGATGGAATGTTTCTCTTCTCTTTTAATAAGACGTGGACTTTTTTTGCAAGCAAAAATTCCAGTTTGCACTGCATATGTGCTCAACAAAGATGCCCTTGAATGTACAGCGTGCCCAGAGGATCCACTTAAAAAAAAACCTGTGACTGCAGAACAGAAACAGTCTAGCCTGACTGCACGATTTGACATTTTAGCTGCATTTTCAGTTTGTCCTTGATTAAAAAGCATTACTGTGGCTTTTCAATAAGGATAAAAATCTGACATGATCTTCAACAGCATGTTTATTGTCACTGTATGGGACATCTTTGATTTGGACAATTGGCACAGCCAACTGCAATGGCCTTTGGAAAATATACCACTTTCTAGAAATTCCTGAGACAAACATGTATATGTATGCATACCACATTTTCAGTCCATCTTGGGAAAAAAAGCTCTGCACTTTGTACACTTTTATTGTTCCACTATTCAGCCACTTTGCATTTTGTAAAGCATGTCAATGCATGTGTGGTGACAAAATGCTTTCCTAGCAGGACATGATGCTGGTTTGCAATTGGAATGAATTCAGTAGAAAGTGGTACTTTTGTTGTTCATACAAAAACGCATACGAATGCTTGGTTGGCCACAAAATGACCCCCTTTTTGTCCAAGATCAAATCTCGTCTCTGCATAGGCCCACGCACTGATCCAATCAAAACACTCAAAGTTTCATAGTTAGACACAAAATGCTAACCAGCCCTCAAAGCCACACCAGGTTTACAGACCTTCTCTTTGTAGGCTGCTCCCAACATCTGCACACTCTTCAAGTCGACAGCACCCTTCAAGCCCTTCTTGCCTTCCTTCTTCTTCTTCTTCTTGCAGCAGCACTTGACGCAGATGCAGCCGCAGCAGCATAGCAGCAGCAGCCCCGCCACGATGGCAATCAGAATGATCGCCCACATAGGCACTGAGTGAGTCCAGGCAAAAGTTGGGTGAAAATCAATACCTTCATTCACAGCAACATGTACACGTACATTTACAAAACATGCATGTATTGTTTAAATACAAGAGTTCAATTGGCAACATTTGCTATCATCTACAAAAACACACTGAGCAAATTTCTGCAGAACTTCTGTTATCAAAGTAAACTTCTTTGCATTTTTAAAAGAAAATCTCTAGTGTAAGTACGCACAGCTTATTAAATGCTGAAATAAATGTATCACTTTGTTGAAAGAAAAACCTGAAGTGCTCCACAAGCTACATGTACTGGTATGTACGGTACATGTACCTTGTACATGTGTACAATGCACATACATGTATAAACAACTACATGTATGTGTAATACACTGCATAATACCTTTTGCTACATGTATGTTCTGCATAGGATGGTGTGGAGGAAAATGAGGGCGGTTCAATAAATTAACTAATGTCTTCTCCCTTGCTGAGGACTGAAAAAATTGCTCAGATTTACATGTTTAGACGTACAGTCGACTCTCATTAATACGAGGGCCTCGGGACTTACAAAATTAGCTCGTATTACCCGGACCTCGTCTTATGCGACAACTGCCATCCTGCTTGACGTATGTATCACCAATCAACCGTACATGTAGGTAAAGCGTACATGTGTACAAGTATGCCTAACTTTTCGTTTAAAGGCACATACTGGTGGTATCGTTTTGATTTTAAAAAGTTTGTTCATGAAAGTGAGATACAGTTTAATGAGTAAAGACTTGTAATAAAGAATAATTATAAAATGTAAGAACGGAGGAAGCGGAATTTCAACAAGTCGTGTCGATTCGGAGCGACACATCCCCGGCCCAGCATGCCGTGATAAGATCCACATGCACGCACATAACATAAGTGCATTAACATTTTAGTTGGTAATCAACACCAGAGCTGCGCTGGTTGCACATAAAAATGGGAGAAAACCAGCTATTGGTGGTGTAGACAGCAGAGGGCGAATATCGGAGTTTACTTGGGAAAGGTGTGTGGGTTTGGTGAAAAAATATTAGCAAGGGATACACTTTTTTCTTCCAAACTTGTGGTTATTTTCTTAAACATTTCTGGACTGAAAACCACGGTTTAGTCATGATTTTCTTAAACTGAGATTTTATAGAAAAGTCAAAATTGGAAGGGGCGATATTTTCATGTTACAGTGGGGACTGGGGAGTGGGTAATGATTTTTAGACGGAGGGTGGGCAGTTTTTTGGGCCGGGTGTTTGGTTACGGAACACAATTTTTATTAGTTTCCTGGGGGGACTTTGATCTTGGGGAATTTTTGGGGGGTGGGGAATCAAACTGGTTCACCACTGTCCTAAATCCCGTAGCACTTTTGGCTGCACTCGCTTGTGTTCAGGCAGTACATGAGCCACCACACAGAATTTCTATGTTGGGTACGGGAACGGCAAACGCCCATTTTTTGTCTCTCTTGCAGCACGGGACACAAACAGCTTGATGCAGTGAGGGAAAACCACAGCGCTGTTTTACTGTACACACATAAATTACGGAAGCGCCTTTCAAAATTGAATGGACTACTGGGTAGCTGATTGACAAGTTGCCTTCAAAAAAGCATGTGCTAAATAGACAGATAACAATAGATTTGCACTCGGCCACTGACAAAAAAGCTTGTCTTAACCGAAATCTCGTAACAATTGAGCTCGTATTACACATTTTTTCCCTCACAGGAATGTGCACAATTCAGTCGGGACTGGCAAATGTGCTCATCTAAACCGGAGTCTCGTCTTACCCCAGCTTGTATTACCGAGAGTCGACTGTACTCCACTGTCTTTCATGCTTCATCTACATGTATTAAGTCCTCCAAACCATAAACAGTCATCCAATTCAGTTACACAGGTACAATATAATGTTCAGTACTCACAGGGTAACTTCTGCAGTTCTTCCATAATCTTATCCCCAAATTTGTTGAGTACAGTGCCGCCTTTGGTCCCCTCAGTCACCCCCGCCGGCACTCCCGTGACTGAGACGACCCCCTTGGATTCTGCATCCTGGACAGCAGGGTCTCCTGCCTCTCCTTCCATCAGCTTGCGCATGATGTAACCGACCTGATCCATCTTCGGAGGCTGGGGTGTGATACAGCTTCACAACCTAGGAGACACATGTCACATAAAAGGGTACATGTACTGGTACTAAAAAAAGACCGAACAGTCGGTTGGCATCAGTAAAACAAGACTGAATGTAAGGTATAAAACTTGCTTGTGCTGAAACGTACACGTACATGTACATACGTAGTACAAATGTACATGTACATCTACTCGTACCAGGTACATGTACATACATGTAATATGCATCCACTGTACATACATACATGTACCTGCATGCTACCAGTACCGGCGTGTCCAACTGCCTCAACCAAGACTGACTAGGCACAGGCACAGTACATGTACAGTACATTGTAACTGTCAGAATATCTATTATCAAGCAATCATTCTAGAAACACAAACAATTTTGGTGACATTTCTGCTAAACAGAATGAATAACTATAGAGCCATGCTTGATGTACATGTACAGTACATACAAGTACATGTACACCAGCCTGAACAGCATACTGGCTACACTTCCATAAAGTAAACATGTACAGTACATGTACAGGTACACAAATACTGTAATAAAGGGGCTCAACGTTGCTACTGTACGCAGCCATTTTTCTTTGCCAAAGGCTGTTGATTGGTTGAGAGAGTCAGCTGTCCAAGTTCTAGGGACAGTGTGACGGAGGGAGTTTCAGACTTGGGAACTGTGTTTTCCTATACCGGTAGCTGCGGGTAGGAAATACACAAATATAAACTACCGTACTGTTACCACCTCTCCAGCCAAAAATGCACGCAAGTACATTGTACATGTACATCTACATGTAGGCCTAATGCAGTGCTTTGTCTCCATGTCATCAAGCTTTCTACAGCCAAAGGCCCACAATGTTTGCTAATTGGTCAAATTCTGGTAGTCAGGTGGTCCCCCCCTTGCTTATTTAATCAATGAATGTGCCCAGATACATGAACAGTACCAATACTACATGTACATGCATGTACATGTACGCACTGTACCCGTATATTGGACATCTGTGCCCACTTTAACATGCGACATTCATGAAACAGTCAAGAATAATGCCTGATTTATAGTACCGTACGGTACCTCTTAGAGAACCTCTTTAAGTTACTGTCCATGTACACATGTATGTACATGTTCATGTACCGGTACAGTGCATAATGTATAACACACTACATCCTTTAATTCATTATTACGGTTGCATTCTTTAGAATAGGTACATGTACATGTAGTACCTGTACATGTAGGTACATGTATAGTCTAATTAAACACATTCATGCCTGGTCTTGTACAATTTCCCATCCGCTTACAAGGAAAACAAATAAAATGATAACCTTTCACACAACTCACATAGTTAAATACGTACTGAGGAATAACCTTAAAAAATAGATCCTGTCCCCATAGAGACCAGCTGGGACGGTCAATTCTTTACATCCAAGTTGTCCTAAGACTAAAAGCCAACGTCATCTGACAGCAGCTGGCAACTTTGATACAAGCATCAGATATTCTCGGCTCAAATTTTCCGTGTAGTGTCCAGATGAATGCAAACACCAGCCGTAAGCCACAATGATCCCACGATATTCCTGTGATAATGGGGAGGGCACACTTCTAGCAGATGGAGGTGTAATAACCAAGTGCGCAATTCCCCTCACCACTCAGCATGCATGACGTACACTCAAAGAAACACACAGACTGGCGTCACGATATGTAAGCCCTGGCTCTCTCTCTCTCTCTTGGCAGTACACATCTGTCAGGTATATCTGCAGTGTGGACGGTGGAGTACCAGTGATGCATAATAAAGGGGTTTATGATAATTTTTTTTATCGTCGAAGGATTTTAACATGTTTAATTCTCCTGGGCAGCTACCATTTCAAAAAGAGGGTGGTTCATCAAAATTGCACTGGCATTACTAACATGACTAATGTACATGTATGCATATTTTTTATAGTATGTGACAGATGACAGCACAGCAGGTATATTGTGCTGTGTAAACACAGCATGCAGAATAATTGATGACATATAATTACAAGTACCGGAACATGTAGGCAACAAAAAATATGCTTCAAATGACATACCAATAATGTACATGTGCATGTGGATATTTAAAACAAGGCTTGGTTCTTGTACACAGTAGCAGATATTTTGAAGGATACTGGTACATGTACTTGTTTTTATCTGGTTCGTAAGTGTGACGTCACTTCAGATTAAACCACAACCACTGCACATGGGGTTACATGCATTGATCGCCATTTATGTGGAACCATGGAACCGGAAATTAATGCGCAACTTCTGCGATCGTCCAATGGGAACCTGCGAATCGTGGCGCGTCCGCCTTTGTGACGAAGTCACTTACAAACTGGATAGGGTACCTATCACCGGTTAAAAACAGCAACAGCAAGAGGGGTCTGGTGGTGCTTGTTTCAAATGAAATGCATGGCACCAGTTTTCTTTAAAGAATAACGGTACTCATTGCGTGCATAAATAAGTGGAACCTTTTTGCATAATCAAGGATAACAATAAGATCTTTTTTCTGTCATATTTCCGATTTCAGTTTTTCCCTCAAGAAACATTTTTAGGGTTGCGCCATTAAAAGGGGTACATGTACATGTAGCTTGAGCAACAGAAAGCATAACATTTGTTTTGTTTTAAATGTAGATAATTTCATTCAACTTATTTGAGATGGAATTTAATTGCATAAAGTGTATTCAGTGTATTTTTAAACTAACTTACAGCTTTGCTTTTTTATTCTTCGGTCAGAGGAGATGAGGTGATTCCCCCTCTCCAGATCTGTTCTTGTCACTTCACAGGAGTTTTAAGGCGATTCTTTATTTGAAGGCCCCAAAACAGTGTTTGGCCTTGGTGCCTTTCCTTTATCAAAAAAATGGCCTCTTTGCCCATGCTTTTGGCCCCGGTGCCCCTTAAAATGTCCACCTGAGGCCCAAATGGCAGTGCCCTAAAATCATTGAAATTTGAGGCCTGTACATGTGCAATAAATCTTTCTCTGTCATCTTTTCAGTTCATGTTTCATTTTTGGCATTCTGTCATCTACATTCCATTACAATTTATTTGCTTTGTACATACCGGTGCACCTGTAAACATACATGTACATGTATGTATTTTTATGTACATAAACCATGTACTGGTATACATGTACATGTACCGGTACATGTACATTGTAATACATACATGTATTAGTACGGTACAGGTGCGTGTATGTAAATGCATTTCACCTGAATACATGTACATGTACATGTAGGTGTATACAGGTACATGATTCGTGAAAACAAAGTGCAGCAAGTACAAGGCCCATGTGCTGCATGCACATGTGATGTACATGTACCGGTACGTGATGTACCGTTATATTATCTTCCTGCATTACGTGTACACACAATGCCATTAAATAAAGTATAACTCTACTGAGCCTGTAGCTACAATGTACATGTAAGCATTGATTTTGAGCAAATGAAATTGCAATGCGCGTATGGGAGGAGTTCTACCCTGGCCACTGACGTCAACACATTCCATCAACGATGGACTGACAGCCAATGAGGCTTGGCCGTATGGGATGACACATGGCTGGCCCCATTGCACTGCATGTATTGTAACGTCAAGGCAATACAATCTACATGTACAGTACACCATGCTAGTACAGTACATGTAAGTTAATGGTCAACTTCAAAATCACACAGATTTTTCCCCTTCTGTCAGGTATAATCAGCATGTACATATTCAGCAAACCACACACATGGGGCTCACCAGTAAGCTGCAATTCACCCAGCATGTGTATCACACTTTTTGTAAAAAGAAACATGATATTGAACATCAGCTTCATCCTGAATCTGACTTTATAAATTTATGATAACGTCGGCCCTCTTTTGTGTTAAAACACAAAACTTAATAGGTACATGTACAGTGTACATGTATTTTAAACCACGAATGTCATAATGACAGACAATGAACAGGAACTGTACATGTACAAAGTTTGTTCAAAAATGCTTTTACCCAATTTCAATGGTTATTGGATTTTTCATTATCTAACGTACAGAGGAGAAAACAAAGACCAGAATATTGTACAATATTGATAATTCCAGAAGTTAGGGGGTCCATTTTTTTTTCATACCCCTGTCACATCTGACAGATGATTTTGTAAGTTAAGAACACATTTTCTGTTGTCTAAGATTGATGAATTACTGGAAATTACATTGTACCTGCCAAACAAATAGTAATAGTTTGAAATCAATTCCAGTGATATTTCCATGTCAAATAATAAAGGTCAGATGTAACAGGGATGATAAAAATGTCACACTTTTGGACCCCTTATTTCTGGAATCACCCACATTTGAATTCTATTTCCTCATGCATGTACATGTACATGTGTCCATGTCCATGTACATGTGTCCATGTACATGGACACATGTACATGGACACATGTACACGTGTCCATGTGCATGTACATATACATGTGTCCATGTACATGTGTCCATGTACATGTGTCCATGTACGTGGTGTCCAAGTGCATGTACATGTGTCCATGTCCATGTGTCCATGTATGACGTACATGTATAAGCTACGGTATAGATACAGTGCCCATCGCGGTATGTTGTACCAGGTACGTACGCATTTCAGAAAAGCTATAAAAATGGAAATCAAACACTTATGCAGTAACGTACTATACATGTAATGATGAGGATCTGGATTGATAAGAATGCATTACTAGATCCCCAGAGGGGTGACTACTGCCCCAATTGTTCAAGACCCTACTGTGCATGTACATGTACAGCACATGTACATGTACATGGCACTTGTTATTATGGCTGGCAAATGGTATCCTGGACCAGTGTGGAAGGTAAATGTACATGTACAGTATACTTTTATGGGTGTGTACATGTACTTTATACATCATACATGGCTGATTATCAACAATACCAGGTCCAAGGCCCTGACAAAACACATCCTTTGAAATCAATCAAGTGTACATGTAACTGCCATACTGCCCCATTCATTTAAAATCAAGGATACTGGAGCATTTTGGAATGTTTGGACAATATCCTCAAAGCCTTGATATAAATTATTTAAAGTAGTGTTTAAGTAGGAATTTTATCAGCCAGCACATACTTGCATAGCTGCCTATATCTCTTAATGGCATTTTTATCAGGTTTATAAGCCAAATATCAAATATTCACAGCAGGCTTGGGGCTCTCCACATACCAAGGTTAGAGTGCAGGAGTGGTCACTTCAAACACATTACCCACACATGGTAAATGCACTCCCTGTATATCTACATCATAAACAGTGCACACAAGAGCCTACATGTACATATGCACATGTACATGTACAGTACATGTTCATGTATGTACTCAGTGTACTGATAAATAGGCATGGATATTAAACTTGTCACACAATGTATCCCATATACATTGTCTATAGTCATAGTTTGCCTCCAAAGGGAAATTTACATTAGGCCAGTGAAAAGAAATTTTCAGGATTTCATCAGACTGAAAAACAATTGATGGGGCAGAAGAGATTGTATAGATTTAATAAATTCCAACTCTTCACATCCTAAGAGCATTGATGGGCCAAAGTCTGACAAGAAAATAGTATGCACATAAACACACCGGGCCTGTATGGCATTGTGTCTGTCTGACCTAAATAAAGCCCATCATCTGATTGGTGGATCATTACAGCAACTCAAATGTCACTGAATTATTCATTCCAATGCATGGAGTGGCTGAGCCAGAAAACAGAAGTTCCATTCCACAGGTGAAGTTTTATTGAAATACATCTCGCAACTCCTTGTTGATGCAAGAATTCGTTCAGCTTGGGATTGATTCAAGATTTGTTGAGGTGACGAAGGGATTTATTCAGCCATTACACAGAAATAAGTATTTGTTTCAGATTCATGCAAAGTAAAGAATAATTCAATGCAGCCGCCTCATGATTTCTTATTCACACTTTTCTGGTATGGTTTATTTCATGATCTGCAATGAACACTTATAACATGCCTTCAGCCTAACTTGTACCACAGAGCCTCAGAGATTTATTAAGCGCTAGTTTTCTCAGAATATTTGGTTACACATGAATAAATCACTGCATGGCAGCGTACTCTTACACGTGTACAGGTGCATGTACATGTACACATGTGCCATTGTGGATAATTATGGTAGCATTCCGATGAAACCGTAATTCAGAACAGACCGACAAAACTGTCAAACATAAGGGTTTGGAAACTTGTTCTAGATTTAATTGACATCAATCTTGTGATTAAAAGAAATGCAATGATGGTTTAATATTGGGAGCACTGCCAAAATTCCCGGAGGGTTTGCCAACATGTACATATACATGTATCTGCACACATGTACCACTACAAGTTAAGTACATGTACGTACAGAGCTTCATTTACAGAAAAACATAATAGGCCTATATTACCAGTATTTAAAAATTTTACGTACACGTCCGGTACATGTACATTAGATGCACAGTACGTATGGGCCTAGGTTGATAAATTTAACTTCAAGTCCTTTTGCGTAAAAACAGATCCCAGATTCATGTAAAAACAAAGTAACTGAGTCTCATTTTAACGTGACTAATGAAACATGTGGATATGGTAAAGGTTACTTAAAGAGTTAACTCCAAATTAAATACTCCATGTGACTTAATGGAGCTGTTATTTCACAGGGTCATAATGCTTTTGCCGTGGTATACTATTTATCACTTTGAGCATTTCTGAGGTGAGGGGGTGGCATCTTGTTTTCATTGTGGGACTTGTAAGCATATAATCAGGATGTGTGACATGCAATATGCCGTGTTCATGAAGTCAATGTAGCTAGCTGTGACAGATTGCAACATCTTAGAAATCCCTCCCCCGTCCATGTTCAAACCAAATGTAGAGCAAGCCTGGCCACTGGCCGGCACGGCCATGTGCAATGTGATAAACACAAATGGTGCCATTGTTGTCTGGTGGAAACGAGATTGGCAAGTAAAAATCTCAGATTTTTAAAAAAATACTTGGGTCTCATGGTCTGGCACTACTGTATGACTGTTTCACAGTTGCTCTCACAGGAAAATTTGATTGAAAAAGCCGAGTTTGCATTACCGGATCACCACCTCAAACGCTCAATTCAAACAACACATACATGTACACTGTCGTGACACAGAGTTCTCTAGTAAGAGAGTACATTGTTCACATACTTCAAGAGCTCTAAGCCACTACTACCGGTACGTGTGACTTACAATGTAGATGGGGTGTTATTTCAATATGGTCGTAATGCTATGTGTTTTTTGAATCCAGTTTTTGCTGTGAAGTCTTATTGAAAATCTGGTCGTGCCAACCTCCACTTTTTCAATGAGATTTTCCCATGAGAGCAACCATGAGGTACATGTACCCATAGCTCTTCAAAACACCTGCACAGGAGTTTCAGATCCCGAGACCAAGTACTGGGGTTTTTTTGAAAAAAATCTGACATTTTGGCTCACCGATCTCTGGTTTCCACCCGATGATGACTGCACCGTTCATGCAGTTGTGTTCATCACATTGCGCATGCGTCAGGCGGACCAAAGGCTAAGCTTGTACTCTCAACAACTGTCACTCACAGACGAAAGAAATACTGTGAGTGGCCTAATTTGCTTCCATTCCAATGACCAATCACAGCTTGGCTTTCTTTTTGATAGGGTCAGGAAAACAAAAAGGGAAAAGAGGGCAGCTACCGGTGTGTTGCATCTGTTTCTAAGACAATCCGTTGCAGACATCAATTCTGGCTTTAATGCAACAGAGAGGGTAAATGTAGGTATCGGATGTTGCTCCGTAGACTCCGCTTGAATAAAGATGTCGTCAAGTTGTCGTTGCAATTGGCCAAGCTATCACACAGCTGACAGTTACATGTATTGAGAGTACATGCTGCTGATTATCTACAGTGTTGATGGGCAAAATGCTCAAGCATTTCACCGTTTTAATGTCAAAGGATACCGGTATAACGGTTAATAAATCTTCCCATCAAGCATCTCACTTCACCAAGAAGGCATATGTATGAAATTTTGCTGCACAGACAGCTGTGATGGAAAAGTAAGTTGGCACAATCAAAACAGCCAAAATGTGTTTATGGGAGTTTGTATAAACCTTACAGTTCGGGAAGTACACGTATGCTGTCATTGTAACCATACATGTAGGGGAAAGACACAGGAGTTTGAACTGCATGCCCAGACTATAACTTCTGGCCAATTACTGTTTTTTGGTATGCCCGGGATGTCCATAGCCAGAGCGCAGCGAACGCTTGGTACGCTTGGTCGTTTGAGTAGTTTTTATTATGGCATTTGTACAAAATTGTATTTTATGGGATTTCATGATCACCCCTTGTGATGCAATAGGGTATTTTGTTCCTTATGAACTTTGCTTTCAGTAGGCCTAGTAGTCAATCTTTTGTTGGCCAGTCTTAGCCAAATTCATACCAAGTCTTTGAAAACTAACGTATTGGCGGGAGGAAAATAAAATCACAAACTTTACATGGATAATAGAACAGTGTGTCAAAATTAAAAAAGTTTGTTCACAATGGCCAGAGTTCTGGTAGGTCTAATATTAAGGATTTTTCCTCTATTTCCTGGCCACAGCAATAATTTGTATACAATTGCAAGCAAAACACTAGAATTATTGCTGGGATATTACTGGCCCCGCTTATCCAGCTAAGCTTACAGGCAGTGATTGTGCATTTTCAGCGAATTACAGCGACAATCACTGAAAACTTTGAAGTGCCAGAGTCGCAATTCTCTCTATGTCCTTCCTCTATGCCCCCTCTGTCTACCTCTATGGTATCAGATAGACCTGTGAACAGGGCTTGACAGCATACGATGAAGGGGTATAAACATATGATAGGCCCTGTTTATGGGTCTAGGTATCAGAATGCCCCCCCCCAACCTAGCCAAGGTTGGACGTCATCGACATTGCATTGCGACTAACCTATATCGTGTGGTACTATGCATTTTCGCATGCGCAAAATGGCCCCCAAGCTCGGACCACGATTTGTCAGTTGTCTTGAGCTACATGTACATATGTAGGTCTAGGTCTTCACTCCATTAGAAATATGTGGAGACGTGCAGACAATCATTGACAATAGACCTAGCCATATCTTTGGAAGCCCGTTTGGGCACGGCCCTATCATCGACTTTTTCATGCCCATGGCTCTTCTGTGCATGCATGACGGGCACTCAGTTACAAGTACTTTGCATTTTGCGCACGTGCGAGTACACTTGCAAGACGAACGTCATGTAGCCTTTGTAGATAGTTAACAAATCGCGATGGAAAGCGTGGAGTTTTGCACAATTTCCTGCAAAACACAGCATTTATGGAATTCAGGATACAAGGCACTTGTGAACATTTTGAGCTGTCTTTGCCAAGTAAAAATGTGAGGAAAAAAATGTAGAAAAACATTTTGCAAAGTAGGACTTTTATACCCTGGACATTAGTCACAATTGCAATGTAGACATCGTCCAACCTGGGCTAGGGTACAAGGCACTTGTGAATGACATTTTAACTGTCTTCTCCAGTAAAAATGTGAAGAAAAACCGTTGAAAAAAATTTCGCATTGTGGGAGGACTTTACCCTGGACGTCAGTGGTAGTGTAAATCATTGTAAATGAAGACTACGTCCAACCTGGGCTACCCCAACCCAAGTTACATTTTACAACATGCACAAGCAAATGGTCAGAGCAACACCTACCGTACTCTGCTTTGATGAGGACAGCACAAACGCAGTACTGTGTAAATGCCACACTACCGACGGCCACACTTCAGCGTGGTGTGGTTGTCTCTTTTTTTGAAGAGGAACACTCGCGTCAGAGTTTACAAATCAACTTCATGTTCTCCTCCTCTAAAGGCACAAGATGTTTGCCTTACTGCTTCGCACTATTTCAGACACGGGAAACTGCTGTCATCGGCCAGAGGGGAAGAGAATCGATTTTTAGGGGCAAAAAAATCAATGGCGAAAATGGACTTCAGATGAACACCGTCGCTAGCATTAGCACTACACACAAACGTACGTACGTACGAATGCACTTCTTTACGTGAAATATATTAATACATTTTCCAGATTGACCGCAACTACATCGACACTCCCGAAAATCGCTGGTACTAAGTGTGTTACCAGCGATTTATTTTGTTTGCCACCCTGAACAGAATTGAACGCACGAGGGCGCACTGTTGCCATTGCCAGGTGAACAAGATGGCGGCCTCCAGTGCCAGAGTCGGTTCGTTTGAAACAAATCCTGACACTTCGGTCGCTGGGATTTTCGATTCCATGAATTATGGTCCAAACCCTGAAGCGTCTACCTCTGCACAGGTAAGTCAGGCAACCACGATAGACTTTTATGTATTCTTCTCGAAGTTCTGGCATGTGTGGGTTTTGATGACCTACAGCTAGGCGGGTAGGCATGGTGTAGGCCCAGCCCCACCCGTACAAATCAATCCGGGAAATGCGCGAATTAGGAAACATTTCCCAATTCGGAAACATGTTACCGAATTAGGAAATTTCCAGTGTTTGCAGGCGAATGTGTCTTTTCTAAAGGGAAACAGGCGCAGTGGTGCATCCAGTATCCAGACCTCTTAGTCAAGATCCCTAGACTGTGCTAGATAGAGAATGTTTCAGGCATGTCAGGAGGAAACTAACCAAGTACCAAGTATTTGTTGTGTGGGAGGGTGACCAAACTTGGAGGGGTGGACTGGCAGACTGGAATTTCAAATTAGGATGATTTTCCCAGTGCTATTAATTTATCTAACTGACATTCAATTACCGAAACCACATGTACATGTAGGGTAAAAATGTGAAAATAAAAGTGGAATTAGGCCTACGACATGAGTTGAAATGTAATGGCATGTAAAATAAATCTTCAATGAAATAAATCGCTTTATTAAAAGAAGTTGTGTGAAAGGCAAATTGTAATGTCAATTTGAAGTGCTTTATTTCCAGTTATTTTTCTTGTATCAATTTTTACAAAGCAAGAATTACAGCCTACCACTGTAAACGTATTTTTATTAATTTTTAAAATAAAATTCACAATTAAAACAAAATTATGTAAAATGTTTAGGTTTAGACATAGAAAAAAAAGTTCAAGGGGCGTCCTTAATTATACTTATACAATTTTAACAGTTATTGCAGCTATTTTTCCCCACAAAGTGATTACAATACAATACAGTGTTTCACAACTTTAAGTCCTGCGTGCCAACTGGGCAGAATTAAAAATCATAACACAACAAAACTATATTGTAACTTGTATTTACCATTTACATTTCCTTTTTATAGCAGAGTATTTTTTTGTTACTTCCATTGTAGCTATCTTAAAAATTTACTTTGTTGCTAAATTATTTATTTTTTAAAATAACAGCTCCGAACGAGGCCAATATCAAGCTTCGAAATGGAGTCAAACTTCAAATTCGCCACTTTAAAAATGCTCAACTTCTGATCCGTCTCAGGCTCCAACTGTTTTTAGTACCCGATTTGAAGTTGTAAGCACGACAGTAAGTCTGATGTAGTGGTGCCACAAAACATCAAGTTAGATGCAAAAGAGCCAAATATTACAGTACTTCAGTTTTATTTAAACACTTCAGGCCCACTATCGGGGATTGGTTTTGGGGACGAAACGTGAGACGGACACGAAGTTGAGTATTGGAAAACATCTAAATTTTCGTTTCTATGTACATGGTCGAAAGTTATCGACTTTTTAAAGAAAATGCACTCCTAACTTTTCGATTTGCACAGACAGAAATTTAGGCAAATACATGAAACTCACATTTCAGCAATTTCTTTTTTGCGCCAACGTGTGAAATTTTGCGCCAGCGAGTTTGAATTTTGTGTTTCCAAATTCACGTATTTCTGGACTGAAATAGCGCTGCTTTTGTTTTTTAAGGTGGCGCCGCCCATGGTCAGCATAGAAATATCTGGGTTCATTACCTTTAGCACCCTTTTCCTATTATAAGGGAACAAATTCTACTTTTTCGAAATAACTTATCTAAACAAGTTGTTGGTGGCATCCTCTTTCAAATCAGAAAGAAAAGAGAACAGGGCTTTTGGTTTTTGAGGGAAATTTTTTGGGTAAAATGGCAGCGTACCACAAAGAGCTGTGAATGACAAAGAAGCGAATGTAGTCTGGTTCCTTGACCTGGATGGATATTTATTTAGATGAATCCAAAAAGCCTGAGTTGGGTAACCAGATGAAAAACAAAATGGCATGATTCGACTGAAATTTAGAAATTTGAAGTTTTCTTGTTTAAATATTGTCAAAATTTACCAAAACTACATTTAGGTCTATCAGGATTGAGTAATGGTTCCTTAAGGTCAGTTTGAGAAAGTGGACTTTGTTTCCATATTTATAGGAACAGGCTGCTAATGGTAATGAACCCCTAAATATCACAGGCCCGGTTTTCAAGGCGCCATACACCAAAAAATATACTTTTGGGGAAAGCTTTAGGGTGCTCATATAAAAGTCCAAAATCTGAGGAATAGGCCAGTGTAGGTAAAATTGTCTCGTCATTCTCATTTCGGAAGATATTAGGATTCAAAGTTTGTGACAATCCTGCAGTTTGGCTTTCAGGCATTTAAGACATGCCTTGAAGTAGGGCTGTGGTGGCGACAGAAAAGAGACAGATTGTAAAAAGGAGCCACTATAGCCCTATTTGTGGGGCTAGGTACTCATGGTACTACAACTAATACTATTACTACATGTAGAACTACTAGCCGCTAGTCATGCTCAACTGATGCTAGTGGGGTTCATTACCTTTAGCACCCTGTTCCTAATAAGGGAACAAATTCTACTTTTTCGAAACAACTCATCTGAACAAGTTGTTGGTGATGTCCTCTTTCATATCAGAAAGGAAAGAGAACAGGGCTTTTGGTTTTTGAGGGAAATTTTTGGGTAAAACGGCAGAGATGTATGACTGCCCCAAAGAGCTGTGAACGAAAACTTTACGAATGTTGTCTGGTTCCTTGACCTGGTTGGAGATTTGTTTTGATGAGTCCAAAATGCCTGAGAAAAACAAAATGGCTGTGATTCGACTGAGTGGTTGTCTTTTGCCAAACTTGGGTTAGAAATGTGAAGTTTCTGGCTTAAATATTGTCAAAATTTACCTAAACTAGGTCTATTATCATTAAGTAATAGTTCCTTAAGGTCAAAATGTTAGTTTGAGAAAGTGGACTTTGTTTCCTTATTAAAGGAACAGGGTTTAATGGTAATGAACCCCATGCTAGCCGGCCTACATGGCCTAAGCTGCCTAGTACAACCTATAAACAGGGCCCGATGTACACTCAGACAGCTCAATTGAAGAATACGGTATACCCTGTCGTCCCACACAATCAACCTCATAGCAAGGTATAGGTCAAAGTATCACACTCTTCTCAAGGGATTTTCACCTTGTACCCATGTAACTAGTCATTCCAGGGGTCATGTTTTTAGAGTGGCGAGGGCATTCTGCAATTATTCCACTCGGACTCCTTTGTCATGACCCAGGGGCCTATGCCCAGAACTGTGGGGTCTGACGTCCGCCCCGCTCTCAGTGGGGCGGATGTCATTGTCATTGTGCAGTGCAGCAGGGATAGACGAGTGAATGTGTGCACACCGGGGGCGCCATGCATGCAGCAGTGATTTCACACTCAATCACAAGCATTGCATGTATTTCAGTGTGCTAATGTTCCATTTTCTTTAACAGTGCCTCGCTGGGGGGACCTCTATATTTATCACTCTCTAGGCCTTCTGCAGGACAAACTGACAAGGTTGCCAGAGCATTGTTTGCACCACATACATGTACATGTATACCTTTGAGTGTTCCTAGCACTTTAAAGGATTCGGGTATGGTCCTTCAGAATTTCTGTAAACCAAAATTTCTGCCTGTTGGTGTGGGCACCACTCTTCCCCCAGATTATGTTCTTTGGAAAGACAGATCCCATGTAACTAAAAGCTCCCCCCCATGATCTCTTTTATCTTATGCTCTGGAGCTTGTTAAGTGTCAGAACTTGGAACTCAGCTGGAAAATCTTTTGCCACCGTAGCTGGAATTTCAAAAGTTTTGGAAATAACAAAGTTTGGCAGTATGGACTGCCATTTTCACAGTTCTAATGCCATTGCTGCTGTGCTACTCCTAAGATGATGTGAGAACTATGGAATTTGTCTGCTTCCTTAGTAAGATGTCCTTGCAAGATATCTTGGCAAGATGTCCTTGTTTTTCATTGGTTCTTATATGAGGTTTAAGAATGGATTCTTTAGCATGATATTTCCATAGAAAGACTTCTTTGTATAGTGTGCCCCAAAATCTGGCCGACATGTGGCTGACATTCTGACGCTGCTTGGTCCGAGCAAAACTGGGTCAAATCCATACTAACTTCAAAAACATGATGAAAAAAATTCCAGCTCAATGTCAGAGAGTCACAAAGTGCATGTGTGTCTGCGAGGAATAGCCATGACCAAATGGTTGGCTGTCACTTGCATCAATATACAACTTCACAAACAGAGGGGACTTTGCTGCAGCCGCTTTCCATACATGTATGTGGTTGACAAACGGTCTGTCTATTGTTTTGTATTGTACACTGTTGCACTGTGTATGCAGCTAGGGTAAACGTGGAACAGGGAGCTGTGTAGATGTTACACAAGAAAATAACATTTCCAGTACACTTTACAATAATTCTTTCTTTCTTTACCATGAGTGGCAATAATATTCAATATTATGTTAATCAAATGTTACTTTCAATACTAATAATAGCATTGTAAATTATGATTCATTTTCATTCCTTGATCCAAAGAAAGGAGAACGAAAGGTCCAAAAGATACAAGAACTTTCCTTTTCAAACTCATACACTTTGGGTTCTGCTGGAACCTGCCATCCCATTGTGGTTCACGTTATCTAAATCACGATAATGGAATCCTCAATGCTCGACGTGACCCCAAGGGCATGAACTAGTGGTGAACAATGGTTCTTCTTGGGATGAAGTGTGAAATCATTGCCTTACAAGCATATATCCAGCACATATATGTGACTCAATCCCAAGATGGACCTGCTGAGTTTCTGCGTTTCTCAGTGTGGACTTTGAAAAACTGTCGAAATGCACCTCTTTACGATACTTGATCAATTTATTGAAGGGTGTCTTGGTCTTTTCACAATTCCTAGGCATGGTTGGAGTCTCACAACCGCAGCCTGGGCCATTTCATCGACAACCAGTGGGTGAAGCCCACTGGGCGAGCCACCTACACCAGCAAGGCACCGGCCACTGGTGAAACCTTGGCCACCACGCTGCAAGGGGAAGATGAAGACGTAGAGCTGGCTGTGACTGCAGCTTCTAGGGCTTATACCTCTTGGAGTAAAATGCCTGGCCACGTCAGGGCAAGGCACTTGTACAGGTACATGCTTCACCTCCTTTTCCTTTCTCTCTCTCCAAAAGAAAAAGTAAGAGGGCATTGAAGTTGGGAAATTTCCGTTGGTTTTTAATTGGCGGGAGGGAATCTATTTTGTAGAAATGTTCTTTTAATTTGGAACAGTAACTTTCATTTTTAATATGCGACAGGGTTGTGTGAGTTTATTCTAAAAGGGGAATGTGGGACATCGATTAACTGAAGGAAGGGAACTTTAGAAGGGTGTAATTTCCAAAACCTATTTAAATTTTCTTTCCATTGACCGTGTGGGGTCTTTGACGAGAATTGAATCAGCATCAAAACTTCCGTCCTGTTCATGATTTTCCAGTCGGGTTCATCCATTGTTTGGTTTAAATAACGAAAAAAACCCTCTTTCGGACCAGACCCACGGTTATTGAAACTCCTTTAATGCTGCGACATTGCAACACCCATTGTCATCTTGAATAAAGCCCCCTCTAGTGGCACAAGGAACAGAGTCGCCAAATCATCGGTGGTAAAACCGCAGCGCATTGCCAAGCGGATCAGTATTATTAGAGACGACTGACACCCTCCATCAGGATTAACTAGGATTAAGTTTTTGAAAATGTGTTTTCAATTGTACTTGTTATAAAAATGCCATGGACAATAGCTTCTGACACTGCGGGTTAGACAAAGTGCTCATCTTGTCCGTGTTCTCGTCTTAGCATAGCTCGTATTAAGTAAGTTTTCTCTCATAGGAATGTGTACATTTTGAACGGGACTTAAGAAATATGCTCATAGTAAGCGCGATCTCGTCTCAAGCGTGCTCGTGTTAATCGTGTTCGACTGTATACATGTATATCATACATGTATTTGTGCACCCAAAGGGACTATGAGTGGACAGCATGAGGAGGGAACTAGGACTTTCTTCTTGGTAACTCACAGGCCCAGTGGGCAGAGGAATGCATTATGTGATGGAATTGTGGCATTCTGTACGTGTTTTATTCCACACCTCTCTCTGTCTGTCTAAAATGCAAAGAAACTTCTCTGTGTTTTGTAATTGAGGGCGCTTTAACCAGTCAGCCCAATAGGCCACCATACATGTATGAGGCACTACAAGCTCAGAAATTGTGTGTTTGTGATGTCTTGACGCACGTCTACATGTAATGTTTGCAAGTTTCCTGCACTAGCCTTTTTGTTTCCAATTACAAAAAGTGTTGAAATGGTTCATGTAAGAACAGTTTTGCAAACCATTGCCAACATTATTTCACCAGACATAGCCTCAGAGGACATGGAAGTTACCTTTATTATGAGAACACAGGCGACAGCAGAAATACACTGTATGACAGGCTCTTTGTCATCATCGTCTATGTTGCACCATCACTGAGGTGGTCTCCTGTTCATGCAAAGTACCTCTTCAGCAACATTCCTTTAAATGTCCCCTTTTCAATATTCTCTTATCTTCCTGAAGCATTGCCCGTCATGTTCAGAAACACCAGCGCCTGATCAGCGTGATGGAGAGCCTGGACAACGGCAAGCCAATCAGGGAGTCCCGCGACTGTGACATCCCGCTGGTGGTTCGCCATTTCTACCATCACGCCGGCTGGGCAGAACTAATGGACACAGAGATGGGTAGTTGGAAATCAGTTGGTGAGAATTTTCATCACTGGGAATGGGAGTTCCAAATCCCCTGTTTTTTTCTCAAGTCCTATTAATGATGCAGGACATGCTTTGTAATATATCTTTCCAGGAGATTTTTTTTTAAATTTCCACCTGAATCATTTGTCATAATGCTAACAGGATTGGGTTATGTATAGTTTGCCACATGTACTGTAGCTTGTTAATGTATTTGTTTCAATAAATGTTATGATTCACCACTTACAAGTCTGAAAACTCTTTCAGACATTTGAGTGCTAACAAAGTAAAAATGGATGATAAGTGGAAAAACCAAGTAACAGAGCTGAGTTGGTGTTCCTTTTCAAGAAAAGTAGATCCTTAAATACACATGTGACGAAAAATCCATTTTTGTTTGAAATAATTGCCAGTAGGTAAAGCAGTAACAGAACTGAATGGACATATTGCAAACTTATCAGTCACAAGACAATGGTAATGATTCTATTATCGTGTTCAAGCTGTAGACATGTTTGAGATCCATTGTATTTTGAGATGATCTGTGTATCCCTGCATTTTTTCTCCAACAAGTGAACCACTTGATGCATTGTTCCCCCGCAGGTGTCGTCGGCGCCATCGTTCCTTGGAACTTCCCTCTGATGCTGTTGACCTGGAAGGTCTGCCCGGCCCTGGCCATGGGTAACACTGTGGTCCTCAAGCCAGCCACCTTCACCCGCCTCAGTGCCCTGCTCTTTGCCCAGATCTGCGCCGAGGCCGGCCTACCCCCCGGCGTCTTCAACGTGGTCACGGGCAATGGGGCCTTCGGGAGCAAGCTGGCTGTGCACCCGGCAGTGGACAAGGTGGCCTTTACCGGGTCCACAGAGGTAAGCCGCTTTACAGTTGGGATCTGGGCACCATTGTCCTGGTCTGGAGTTTCTGAGTCTGCTTGAGCGAGATTTGTACATGTGCGAGTTTGTAAGTCATCTCAACAGCTGACATGCTTGTAATATCCCTTGTGTCGAACTTGCTGATTTGATTCCCTCACAAGTGCATATAGTAGTAGCGTTCATATTTAATTGTTGCTTAAATACGTCAAATACCACGGTCCCTTAAGACAAATACTAAGGGGGATAGCATTTACTCTTGTTTTTACTCATCTGCAGTTGTGCTTAGATTTACTGTTGTAAGTGAAAAATGTGACCCAACACTTTGAAATCAGGAATAAGTTGCGAATTGACTTTTTGAGATATCCACATGGTCAGAAAGAGAATTTCATAAGCTTTCATATGGTACATAATACAGGTGTGTTGATGGTAACCTTTCATACAAACACTTCCAAATATACAGAAACCGCTACGTTGATTTTTTTCAACATTTACCCACATCCCCACTTTACTCGGCCATTACGTAAAACGGCCTCAGCGACTTACTCCTTAGTACGATATACTGGGTCACAAATATGGTTACCTACTTCAAGCGTATCACTCTCACTGATAATTATGTTAATCACTAGCCTAAGGAATTTCATTATAAAGCTGGTTTACAATTTTTGTAAATCTGTCCAGGTTGGTCAGATTTTGCGGAAGGCAACAGCTGGAACGGGCAAGAAGCTCTCCCTGGAGCTGGGAGGCAAGTCGCCCTTCATCGTCTTTGACTCAGCTGATCTGGACGCAGCCGTGGAAGGCGTGGTGGATGCCATATGGTTCAACCAAGGAGAGGTGGGTGAACAAGCCACGATGCGAACTCACTGGAAGAGATAAGTGCAGTAGAGGTTAAAATGTTGAGCCTGAATTATAATATACTTTATGGATGTGGCATTCAAGAAGTAAATAGTTGAGGACTCATCTAGTGGGTGTGGCAGCCAAGACATGGATAGTTGAGTACGCACCTGGTGGGTGGGGCAGTCAAGCTGTAGATGGTTGAGTAGTCACTTTAACCCTTCTTTTCTCTCTCCATTCAGGATTACATATGGGTACCTCTGAGGGCAGAGAGGTTACGACATGTATGTTTGATTGATCCAATTGTGGCTGAGTTATTTTTTAGGAATGTGTATGGGCCCAATGCACAAGGAAAATTAGGATGTATCACTTGTAGCATCAGTCATGATAGGTACATGTATGTGTGCTTCAAAAAGTGCACACCATTAATATATGGATGAACTTGTAGATGATCGTTTGCTTAGTCTTTTAGTCCACAGAAAGTGTGTGACTTCTGTGACGGCTTTCATGCAGATATTTTATCTCTTGTGTCCTGTGTGCAGGTGTGTAGTGCTGGATCCCGTCTTCTGGTCCAAGAGACTGTGAAGAGCAAACTGTTGGACAAGCTGCGCGACCGCATCATGTCGCTGCGTCTTGGCGACTCCCTGGACAAGTCCATCGATGTGGGGGCTGTCGTGGATCCCTCCCAGCGAGCCACCGTTGAGAAATATGTGGAGGAGGCCAGAGGTGAAGGGGCAGAGGTCAGTTTATTGTTACGATTTATTATCAAAGTATTGCTGGAAAAGAAACCAAGTATTCCTCAAAAGTGCCCCAGGCCCGTATTTTAAGCCTGAAGAAACCCGTAGAGAGGGGAGAATCAAAATGAGTTTAGAGCTTGGAGAAAAAACCCTGAGGAATACTCTGTGTAGAACCCATGTAAGGTAGCACTGTAAGCCTAATCTACATATTGACGGGACCACGAATCAAACCCGGGTCACAGAGGTGAAAAGACGGGGAAGGAACTATTGTGCCAATCTTACTCCCTACCAGTAGTTGGAATTGACATAGTTGGTAGTTTTGATATAAAATGATCTGAAAGTAGTCATTTGTTATTGATCATTTCTGGTAATGACACCAAGGATTCCTCAAAAGTGTCCTAGGCACTGTAGCTTGTAAGCCTGAAGAAACCCATGGAGAGGAGACAATGAGAAGCAGTTACAGTTTTAGAGGTGGGAGGAAAACCCCAGAGGAATATTCTGGGTAAAACCCATGGAATCAGGTAAGGAGTGAAAACCCAATCCACATGTGGACTAGGCTGGGATTCAAAGTCAGACCTCAGAGGTGGAAGGCAAGGAAAGAACCACTATGCTAACTTGACTCCCCCGTTCTTGAAAGCAAATGGGTAATTCCAGAAATTAGGGGTCCATGTTTATTTTGTGTCCCTGTCACATCTGTTAAAAGATTTTGTAAGTTCAGAATAAATTTTCTAATTTCCAAGAGTGATAAATTAATGCAAATTACTTGCCAAACAAATAGTAATAGTTTGAAATCAATTCCAGTGATATTTCTATGTCAAATAACAAAGGTCAGATGTAACAGGGACAGAAAAATGTCAGACTTTTGGACCCCTAATTTCTGGAATTACCCACATACAAACATGATCTCAGGAAGCACTACAGATGCAGGGGTGTTTAACAGAGTCCAGCAATTGGTAATGAAACACATTTCTTGTACGTTGGTGAAAATTGAAGATGTAATGGGCAACTCTCACTCGATCGTCTAGTGTATGTGACTGCATGTAACTTTTACAATTCCCCTTTTCACCCACAGATTATTCAAAACACACAATGTCTTCCGGCCAGTGGTTGCTTTTACCCACCGACCATCATCAACAATGTGCAAACTTCATCCAAGGTCGTCATGGAAGAGGTCCGTTTAACTCGATCGCTCACTCAACAATGTGTAATGTAACATTAATGGATCTGTGTACTTTGAGTTTAGTCTTTGTTTCATTTGCTCATAAAATATCTTAAAACCCTTTGGTACATGTAAGATGTATGATATACAAGGCAAAAATAAGTGCTTTGAGTAGCTTTTTAAAAATCTTATTCAGAAAGTCTTGGTACCTTGAAATTTGCACCTTGACAGCAAATAGAGAGTGTAATGCCAAGAAATAGTGCTTAAAAATGAAACAGATCTGAAGTTATCCTTACTGGTTTGTTGTTAGATGGTCTTCATCATTTCTGGTTATTGTGTTCAAAATGTTGTTTTAGCACAAGTGTTTACTGAAACTATTAGAATCGCATTTGATTTTTGTCAAGTTGATTAAAAAGCATTATTTGTGTACCCGATAGCAATACCAATGTAATGTATAATTAAGAAACACAGTCAAGTAAATTAACCACTTACTACCGGGTGTTTTGAAAAATGTAGTGCACATAATCGGGACTTTTTCAAGATTTTCAGTTTTCAAAATTTTTCACAAATTCGGCATTTTAATTAATGAACGTTTACACCCACACAAATTACCGTCTGGTGGCCACTCTAGCAGCCTTGTAAATAGAGCCCAGATTGTGCTGTGTTATGTAACTTTCTTTTGTTCACGAACCTGCCACAGTGCGCTGCTGACCTCTTTTCAATAGGGGCCAGATTAGCATGCAGCGGTGCTGTGTGGCTCATGGCTGCGGTGGTGGAGCGTTTTTGTCCCTTGTGGTAATCCGCTCACACTAAGTGCCCCAAACCGTGGTATACTGTTTAAAAACAAGGCTGGATTTTCTCCACTATTGAGAGTGAACAAATGTCGGTAATGCCCAGCAGCCTGGTCTTTTGTTCCAAGAACGGTTTTTTGTTACAAGGCCCGGTTCCCTTCATCCGTTTTTGGAGACCCTGGCCACAAGTATAAACACACGGTGCCCGAAACTGGGGTCCCCGGCAGGAAGAGGTTAATATTAAAGCAGTAGAAAAAAATAGTTGCTAAGACTTGTAAGAATCTTTGAAAGTTTTGTGAATGAAAACAATCATTTCACAAGTAGTTGATAACCTAATTATAAAGTAATTGTTATCCGGCTTATGAAATTATGGAACTGGTTTGCCCCTGTTTCTTTCCATGAAGATTTTTGGGCCTGTTGTGGTGATTCTGCCCTTCCGGACCGCTAAGGAGGCAGTGGCTTTGGGCAACAACACCCACTATGGCCTGGCGGCCAGCGTCTGGACAGAGAGTGTCAGTCTGGGCCTGGAGGTGGCCCTGAGCCTGAAGGCTGGCAGCGTCTGGGTCAACGGCCACAACATGTTTGATGCAGCCAGCGGCTTCGGTGGTTACCGGCAGAGCGGGTATGGACGAGATGGCGGCAAGGAGGTGAGTGTGCTAATTTTCACATTTATCTCTATGTGAGTTCCTCCTCATGCGTTGACCCTTGTTCCCTGAGTGTTTGTTTCCAGGACCAGTTGGGAACTGCTTGAAAACTCACATTCAACAGCTTGCTATAAATCCCTGGCACATTCTGTATACTTAATAAATGAAATCAGGCAAAACTCATGTAACATAATGGTGGCTGGGCTGTTCAACGTTGCAAAATTGCCGTTAAAATTTTGGGAGGTTTCAGATTAAAGATTTTCTAGGAGTGGATCTATTTTGAGGACATAGGAGAGGGGGGTTGATGAAAAGAGGGAAGGGTTAAGCTTGCTCAAGGCGTACCCTACTGCAGTTGTTCAGGAGCATGCCCAATCTCTCTGAAAATGCCAAAATTAGGATGCTTTCTCCTGCATTCAGAGACTGCTTGAGGGAAACATTTAGGATTTTTAGCATTCCATTCGTTGCTATTGGCCCTATTATTGTTGTAAACTTGGCCAGCATCTGAAAGGGGGGCTCTAACCCCCAAATCCCCTTCCACCTAGATCTGCTACTTGCAGAAGTGTTGCGTTTGGATTTGGTCTGTTCAGATAAATACACAAATGCACATTTAATGCTGGTTTACGAAGGCCAGTCTGCAGTGTTGGAAACATGGATACACACTCGACATAGTTCATTAAAAACTAGCATGGCCTGTACGATTCCATTTTAGGCATGCAGTCTCTTCTGTCCGTAATTATTTTCACAGGGCCTTTATGAGTATGTGATTCCAACGTGGGCAGAGAGGGCGCGCCCAGGTGCGGTTGAGGTCAACTACAAGACATTTGGGGGTCACATCCCAGCAATCGTGGGCACTGCAACTCCCAGCAAGAATGAGATTGTCGTGAATGGCCAGAATATTCCAAGGTATGAACTTGTATTTTCCCCCTCAGTAACTTTTTTAGAGGTTGCCTGCATTTTTTCTTTTTGCTAATAATGACCATATTGATGAAAGGGGAAAGTATGTGGCTTCACCTGTGATGAATTATGATCTAATAACCTGTGGTCTCTTAATTGCAAACTGCAATTGTATACAAAATGATTTCTGCATCTGTTTACAGTTTGTTTTGTTTCATATGTCTTTTATAGAGTTTATGGAATTAGTGTCCATTTCAATTTTTTTTTAATTATTATTACTTTTTTTTAAAAGACACATTCTTTTGAGTGTACAATTTTGGCTGAATAGCTTTTATTTCGCTTCTTGTATGTCATTCTGCATTCATATGTCATTGTTCAGAGTTGATCGTACTTACAAGATGTACTATGGAGGGGCCCAGAAGCGCCCCGATGGGCAGTATTCCCGTCAGATTCTGAGCCCTGGCGGGGACGTCATCGCCCAAGTTGGGGATGGGAATCGTAAAGACATCCGGAATGCAGTAGATGCCGCCCACAAAGCGGCCCCTGGGTAAGGCCCCTCCCCTTCATCTGGTTTTGATTGACTTAAATGAATTTTCTTATGTGAGCTTTTTCCAGGAGATTTTTCCTTTAGGTGGTAATGGTGTCAGTTGGAGCTTTTGTAATTCCCCCTGAAGAGGTCAAAAGCAAAATATTTACCTATTATGAAATTTGTCAACAGCTTAACACACAGGTTTGGATAAACAGGCATTGTATTTCATTGTAACTTTACTTGCAGTACATGTGAACTTCATGCACGCATTAAACACCAGAGGCTTTCCTTACTCTCTGACCCCAAAACTGCTTTAGTGAATAACAAGATGTTTCTTATTGAACAAGCATTTGTGCAAAATAGTTAACAAAATTGCTGTAACGTAAAAATGTTCGTAAAACATCAGAAACGTTTCTGACCAAAAGAGTGGTTTGTGCCTTACGCTAACCACTGGGAAAAATGCTCGAACAGAAAGGGGAATAATCATGGGTTTTCCTGTCTCTGCAAACCACTGAAGTTGGGGGAAGCGAGCTGCCCACAATCGAGCTCAGATTGTCTACTACATGGCTGAGAACCTTGAGCTGCGACGCAATGAGGTCGCCGGCGACCTCTGTCACATGACCGGTCAGACCATGGAGGAAGCCCTGAAGGAGGTTGATTTATCCATCCAGAGGCTGTTTCACTGGGGTGCCTACGCCGACAAATATGGAGGCACTGTACAAGTGAGTACATGACTTCTTGGTCTTGTTTCTTATTCACGTAGAATTAATATCATGGATGGCAGATTAGAAGCCTAACCTTGAATCTTGCATAGAATTTTTGGATTGTTTGAAAAATATTTTGCTGTACTTCAACCATTGTTTCCAACACCCATGCAGCAATTTATTTTGGATGGTCGTTAGAATAGAAGAAACTGCTTCTTATTTCTGGTGGAAGGTTTCCGTCATGGTGAACACTGTTGATACTGGATTTGTTTTTTGTCTTTTCAAGGACTTTTCATTTGCAGCTGCGATTCAAGTAATTCGTTTTTGTGAATGTAGATGCCCATCCCTTTTAATTAACCAGTCCTGCCATTGTTTTGATGATTTATAGTTGTATGCAATATCAGCAGTTTGCAAATCGTGCAGCTTTCTTTTTTACGTGTGTATCTACGTCCCTGCTAAACAGAGAAACTAAGCCAACTGATTCAATTTCAAAGAGCTGCTAAGCTGGAAATAGTGCTCAGCAAAACTATGTGCTAAGCCTTGCCCCCCCCCAAAAAAAGCAGTTCTGACTATTACATAACATCTGAAAATAGTGTAGGTAGGTTGACTTTTTTTGTGGTCACATGTTTTTTATACTGATCCAGTGTTCAGCTGAGTTTTAACTGGTTGAAGTGACATCAGCAAGAATGAAATGAACAGTGCATGAAAGGGTACAACTAGCTTGCATGTACAGTCTGTTGAACCCTTTTTGCACCACATCCAAACTGCAGTAGACACCGTTTGTCTTTCCTTTTTTTCCAATTTCACATTTTCCAAAAAATTTTCCCCTCCTCCCCCCAAAAAATTTAGGGTTGCACCGTCGAAATAGGGTAGGTCAGGAAACAGGAAGCCTTACCTTTTTTTTTTTGGCCAAAGCAAAAGTCAGCTTGGAACCAGTCACAAGCCATGTGCATCGTATGACAAATTGGCTGGGAAGCTGTTTTTTTTTTAGTGAATTCTTCTCTCGCTTAGCAGCTCCGTGAAATTGGCATAAGATTTGTTTTTGCCGGATGCAGAGGGAGCTTTTGCATTTGATCACCATGCCTCGTTCTTTGTGGCAGGAAACCCTGCTGTACGGGGCTACAGTCAGGATTAACGAGCCCGTTGGAGTAGTAGGAATCACTTGCCCCGATGAATTCCCCCTGCTGGCCTTCGTCTCCCTCTTTGCCCCTGCTGTGATCCGAGGGAACGCCATCGTCATCGTTCCCAGTGAGAAATACCCAACAGTGGCCCTAGACTTCTACCAGGTTAGTGCACGCATAGAACATCAGATACACACCATGGCCCTCCTGACTTGAAAATTCCTGAAGTGTAAAACTTTTGATTCTCACCCAAATCATGAAAAAAATTGTCTGACATTTGTTTCTTTATTGTGAATAATCCTTATAGATATCGTTCAGGATCAGTTGTCACATCAGGTTAAAATCTGTGCAATCCCACGCTTTCTGTTCCATTGTCCTACTCCTTTATAATTAAGGGACTGTGACTGATCTCTCACCAGTCCTGTTCTAATCTCAGGCCCTTTTTTCCTCCACTAATCCTAGCTCTCTTATAAATTTGAATCTGGACCTTTTAGGAATCCTCAAGTTTTCCTTTTCATAATGCATGTAGGGAGTATATTACTTCACATCACAATGTGATATTTGATGTGGAGGACTTCGAGTGTTTAGAAATGGAAATGACTGTTACTGGCTTGCGTTTTGGTGGAAGACTGCTCCAGAATGAATTATAGCGAGGCCCTCTAAGTCTCAAGGGTGCCAAATGAAGAGTACTTTTACATTTTGCATAAAAGTCCATAGTCCCGCTGTCTTGATTCCTTTTAGATTTAAATGATTCCTGGCATTTACTTTCATAGGATTAACCCTGACCCTCTAGGGACCATTGAAATCCTGCATAACCTTGTTGGGTTCAGTATGGTTAGGGTTAATATCAGACATTGTTCATCTGTCCCTGTTTTGAAGTAATTTAATGATTGATGACAGGTCGGCAAAGTTTTAGTTCTTTTCATTTGGTGTGTTTATATTTGCAAATTTTCCTCAGGTGTTTGACACATCGGACCTTCCGGGTGGTGTGGTCAACATTATCACTGGTAATCGCGATCACCTCACTAAAACCCTAGTGGAGCACCAGGACGTCCAGTCCCTGTGGTACTTTGGCTCGGCGGAGGGGTCCAAGTTCGTGGAGTGGTCCTCTGCCACCAACCTTAAGCGTACCTGGGTGAACTACGGGAAGGGTCGGGATTGGTCGGACAAGTCCCAAGGGCAGGGAGAGGAATTCCTCTATCACGCAACACAGGTCAAAAATATCTGGATACCGATGGGGGATATATTCGCCAATTAAAAGCAGGTAGTCTAACTTTCCTGTAATCCCATAGATTTGCACAAAAATTGTGAAAACTTGGCCATGTCCAAAATCAAGTGGCTACGGCTTGGAGTAATGCACAAGTGTATGAGACGTGACAGCTGCCACTAGCTTGAGGCTTCCATAAGAGTGTGTGCGTTGTGCTCAGCAACAGCCAACTAAATTTGGGAAGTGACTTATTGAGATTTTCACACTCTAGAAGGAAATGATCAGATAGCCAGGTATAAACAAGACACATGATTCATTTATGGCATTTCTATGCTAATCGGCAGCTCCAAAAATATCTGGAAAAGTATTGTATCAAGGGAAGAAAAATCTCATTGTTCATCATTTTTGTCATTTGAGATTATGCAGTGTACACCTTGTTAACTGTTACAAAAATGGCAACAAATCTGCATAAATCATCTAGAGGTAATGTGACTTGATCGGGGTGAATTCTCTTAACATTATTTTGTGTGTCCATATACAGTGTGTGTATTCTATCTTTCTCCTTAAAGCGAGAAGTATGAAGCTGATTTCATTTTAAAGGTTTGTATTTTGGGGTAAATTTTCTTTGGCAGGGAAGAATGAGTATCATAGAAAATTAGATACAGTGTCTATTAAATGCAGGATATTAAATACAGTACAGCCAACAGTACAACACTTGATGGGCACAGTGTAAACATGAGTTTTTGCAGTACCTTATTGTGTTTGCAAATAAAATAAAATTCAGTAACACCAAACAACTGTAGCAATCCTGCATTTTATCTTTGAGATTTACATGTAGTTTGAGTTTTAAGTTTCATTCATGATTATTTTAAAGCATGGAAGTACTTGAATAGACACCACTGAGAAATTACTTTCATTTTAAAGACCATGATTTTACTTGGTTGGAAGTTGATTTTGATTTGGGGTTAGTTGGTATTATACGTCCTTCATTCTGATACAAAAGCTTAGTTTTTGTTAACAGTTTTTTTTTTTAATAGTTAAGAAATTACCTGAAATTTTTGGGTTTGGGGATTTTTCTGAATATGTTGTGTATGCTAACATGTTGTTTATGTCATTTCACACTTTCAAAATGGTACAACAGCTTTTATAAGGGCAAACCCGTTACATATAATTAGCTTTTATACCTACTGTCTTCCAAAGATTTGTTCATTCAAAGCCAACTGAGCCCCTGTTTTTAAATTGAAATGTTCAATAGCTTCGCTGACTTTTTGCAGCTTTCCAGAAGTTTACAATTAAGGGATGACAGATGTATTAATTCTTGTAAAAAATTGCTTACCGCAATAACCAAAACAGTGGCTGCGTCTGAATCACTTGGCTGCAACTTGAAATTACACATGACTTAATGGAAACCAACCACGGCCACTAACATACATGTAGCCTTGAGTGTAATTTCTAGCCGCAGCCAAGTAATTCGGACACGGCCAGCAATCTCAATTTCAAGCAGTGCTGTAGAGTTGCATAGGTGTGGGTACCAGCTGTCTGCTATCAACAACACGGCAGATAAGCAAAATGTATGCAGCTGCCCAAGCGAGTGTTTTTTATTTGTTAACTTCAATTTTTCTTTTAATACCCAACAAATAACTACTAGTTACCAGATTTGTACAAATAACCAAAAAAAAATTAAAAAGACCAACCTGTTAACAGGTTTATTAGTCAGGCTATTTTGGACAATGATTGTCAACATAATATTGATTTAAAAGAAAAGTTCTATTTTACTAAAGATGAGTACATGCACGAGACAACTCAGTGAGATTTTTGGTGAATTGACTCCAAACTGTTCCTTACATGCACTCCTCTGTCTGTCCCCATCCTTTTGGATGCCTTCCTCGTAGGTGTTCTCCCTTTTGGGATAGTTTAAGAAATTTCTTGAAAAATCATATCTGTATCAGCAACTCTGAAAAGCAGGAAAGAAGTGTAGTAGCTTGCTGGTGGGGGGGTGGGGAGTGGAGTCATTTTGGGATGGTGCTCCATATAATCCTCAACTGTAGGCATCGCAAAGGGGGGCAAAATCTGGTCTACCCTCCCTGAAAAAAATCTGATAATAGAGTACCGAAGTGTGACGTCACTATGAACCAGAAAGTGCAGTGCAAACGAATGGAGTACGTGCACGTTGGTTCACCCGCTGGTTCTCGCACTAATGCCATTTACACACTAACTGTTGTTGTGACATATTCACTTGGGTACTCTATTACAAGGAATGAGAAAAACATAAGCAAAAAAAATGGAAAAAAAGGGAGGAAAGGGGATTGGGATCTCTAAACTTCTTAAAACTGACCCCCTTCTATCAATTGTTTGCTGCTGAGTGATCCCTTCCCCCTGCCCCCAGGAAAATCTCCGGGGAGGCCATGGATGTAGCAGTCACTACGCCTAACATACATGTACCCAATGTATGCCCATCTGCATTGATAAAACTGTTGTTGTAAATCTAGATATTAGTAGCCTTGACTTAAATTTTCAAACGTCAATGGAGGAAGTACAGCGAGTCAGTTCATTTAAACCCACTCAATATTTGACACATATTCGTTGGCAGGATCTGTTTCATGCATCGAGATCTGGCATTATCATAGGCACTCGGGTCTGGGTTAAAAAAAAAAAAAAGCAAAAACAAAGTTTATCTTGACACATTTCTTGCCACACGATGCGAGCATGATCCACGGATGAGCCCATGAGGCGTGAGAACTTCTGGCCGTTGCTGAATGAGGAATGAATAATAAATGGCTGTCATTCCCAACGCCTGAATGCCCCAGTATATCCTCACGTACAAGGTGCATTACGCCTCAAGATTGATTGCTGTAATTGCGATGCATGATGCGCATGCTAAATATTTCATTCTGGGCTCTAGGAAGACCACATCTTCCTGATGGTTGATTTCTTGCTTGCCAAGATGTTTCTTTACATTCTTTTCTTTTTCATGACTAAAGAAGCAATTTTTTAAGTGGACAAAATCAAATTACACTTTTGCTTATATTGTAAAAATAAATCCTCATTTAAGATATTTCAATATTTCTTCCAGAAAAAACTTGTTTGAGAAATTTGTAAAAGAAAATTGCATAAATACAAAAAACCCACAATACTTTTATTTCATTGAATTGACAGACCCATGCTCCTTGAAATAATCTTTAGGAAATTACTGTGTCTTCAAATTTCATTTTTTGGTCTACAATGAATTTGTTCCTGTCAGTGAATTAAGTGTGTTTAAGAAAAATGATCTCTTGCCCCAAAACAAGTGTTTTGGTCATGCCGATGTCTGCTTTATAACAAAATATACTTTGTGAAAGGATGACGTATCAGAATTATAAAATCTATTAGAGCTATGAACTATACACATTGTGAATTTCTGCATAGAAATACATGTACATGCGACCATTGTATTCTACAAAGTAACATTTATTGGACTGACTATGCAAAAGACAATGAGAACAAAATTTACTTACAGACCATTACTGTTTTCTTTGAAGCTCTGAAAGTATTTCTAATATTGCAAAAAGATTTTAAATACTTGTATACAATGTAGAACACACTTAATACACATTAAATTCCTGTATCTCTCATGTGTACTCTGCATTTTGGACTAAACATTTTCAAGATCAGGTATGTCGGAGGCAATATACTAATGCAGCATATTGTCAACAACAAAAAGTGAACAAAGTCAATAAAATCTTAAACTATTCTACAACAAAAGCTCCAAAATAACTTAATTTACATAACTTACATGTAACAATGATATTAATAACTTAACAATGGTATTATCAATATTGCTATTGATTGCATTGTTCTTACACAATAATCAATGTTTTTCCCATCTGTTCAATTGGTGCATTCAGCTGTTATTGATAATATGTTTCTTTCCGCTCTGTCTCATGACCCAGATCACTGTTTACATTCTAGATTACTATGTATGTCCTTTTTTACATTTTTTTTCAAAGTTCTCAGGATGCAATCCCCTTTGAGTCAAGTCAGTTTTCAGATTCAGAGTAAGTTTGGAATGATTTTCAAATCTTACTGTTTGTATTACTTTTTCGTATTCACAAATGAACACAATCAACCTTTTGGCCTTTTACTTGTTTTGTTGTAAGTCATGAGATCAATGGAATCACCCATATTGTACTTCCGTAGCTGGGTTATACGCAGTGCTCGTGTATAAAGCAGCTCTGGTTTGATCATCCGGTTGCATAATGGGTCATGTTGTGTCTCTGGCTTCAGCTTGAAGCTGTCGATCTTCACCCCGTATGGGTGCCACACATGCCGGTCGTTATCGACTACCCTCTCAATGCAGTAATCGCGGAAGAATCCGACTCGCTCTTGCAGTGCCTGCACTTCTTTATGCATCCTCTCGGCACCAAACACCTCCACTCTCTTCCAAAACGTCTTATTGAAAACATCGTAGAGTCTCACGTCTCCAGCATTCCAATCCCGTATTTTCTCTGCCAAGTCCAACGACAGAGTCGGCACTGAAGACTTGCTGCGGGCATTCAGAATGAAATAGACCATATCGTCTATTTCCCAGCACATCAGGTGACGCAGGAGGACCACTGATTCATCAAAATACTCGGTGATCATAACCAAATCAAACTGCCGGGTCAGTTCCATGATCTTCTGGTTAATTTTGCTTGGGCTAAACTGCCCCGACTCGGGGAGTCCCAAGTCGTACAACATGGGGTTCTTTACGTGCGAGTTGGTGTATATATTTCGGTTGTAGAAGTAGAGGGGCATTTGCATAAACTGTTCCAAGCCCTTTTCTGGAGAGAGATTAAACCTGAAGGCAATGTCATTGTAGGTGAACGATGATTCATACATTTCAACAGGGTCACGAAGAATGGTCGTGTATACGGCATTTGGTGACATAACTTCTGCAAATCCTGCAACGAAAAAAGTGAGGGCCGAAAAAGAAATAAATACGTGTAGAATTTTTTTGTCATGCACAAACAGGAAAGGACAAACAGGCACGTTCCTGTATTTGTTGCCACAGAAATGGCCATACCTTCTGTACTTTTACCGTACGTAAGTGGTAATGTGTTCCCCCACTTGGCTTTTATTTGTACAGACGGTAACATGACATATTTGTGTCCACAGCCTAACTTTTCACAGTCTGCTGTCTACTATTTCAGCTGAATTTCTACCATGCTCTCTTCTATTTCAATATGCATGCTGAGCTGAGACAAGGACCCTACTACAATCTACAGGTTCTGCAGGATGGTCCTAGTGGACAGGCGACTGGTCTGACCACGTTTGGAGTATCTTACCTTTGGCACTGAAGCGAGTATGATGGCAGAGGATGTTGTACTTGTCCACCGGGAACTGTATCATGAACCTCTTATCAAAGTAGGTTCGTCCCAGGATGTTATGAGTTGGTGGCAACACAAAGTCCAAAGAATGCCGCTCCCCGTAACGGAACAAGATGTTCTGGATGGTGCTGCTGCTGCATTTGTGCATCTTCACAAAAGCAATGTCCCTGCGGGGAGTGCAGTGTCGAGTTGACCAGTTTGTCCATCTTTGGTTGTTGGTGGTGATGACTGCATCGGCCCCAAACTCCTTGAAATGGCTACCTTTCTGGATCTTTGGGAGGTAGTCCCGCTTTACCGACCATGCCCTGGCCAGCTGCAAAGTGTCCTCCTCCTCCCTCAGCACAGCAGGTTCCTGAGGCCTCCTCAGCAGATGCTGTCGTTGGGACCAAGCCCGGTGACGCAGCAAAGGGATATCATCTTTTCCAGGGATGGCATTCTCTTCCTCTCTGGGGAGGTGATGCTGTCCCCTAGTCCAAGCGTGGTAGTGCTTCAAGGCTTCCCGACTCCGATGAACAAGCATTCTTGTTCGATGGCCGTGTTCTTGTTTCTGGATGTGGTCCCTTGTGTGAACAATAAACAGGGTCAATAACTACTCACAACACTGAGGAAGCCTGACCAAATTGTTAAGCCAGCTGAACAAAGTAAGATTCAACTGTGCTCGATTTGCAGGGGGAACATTTAACACAGAAAAATCAGGGGGTCCATTAACCAAATATTGATCATGGCTTGCCCAGATCAACTGATGTAGAGATTCTGTTGGATTATGCAATTTTCTGTCATGGATCAGAAATTCAGGTCTAAATTTTCAATTTCAAGGGATCTTCCTGCTAAGAAAAAAACATTTCATTATTCTTTCCAACATCAGATGTGAATCAGTTACAAGGAATGTATCTGAAGTGACTACAGTGCTCAGCAAATATGTTGGATTTAATGAACTTGTCCCTGGATCAAAAGCGTATTAAGTTTCGAAATCAAACAGAAGTGAACACAACTTTCTCTCCTGAACGGATTTCACAAGAGGTTTGGTGAAGGGCAGTGCAGGACCCAGGTAGAGAATGCCTGAGTGCTGAAAAACATACACTTTAAAATTAGTAAAAGACAACAAAATTCTTAAATTTCTGCGAAGAGATGAATACCTTGGAATATCATTGGCGGATCTTAACACAGAGTTTATGGAAAGAGTTCCATATCTTGAAATCTTTCGACACCCTGTGCAAAAACCCTACATGTATATTTGAGTGATCTTACGACCCTGTTTTCCATTGGTAGCAAGGCCTCAGAATTTCTCTAATAACTTTGACTTTATTTCATTCCGGCTCAAAGTTGCCTCTCAACAAAAAGACCAAAATTTTGTTATAAAGATTGAATTCTGAGGTCCAAATCTCTGGAATTCTTTTCTTTTTCTTTGTTTTTCCAGTCCTTTTGTAACAAATGCAGTTGTGGTTCCCGGGTAATTTGTCTGATCCCCGCAACCTCATTTAGTTGTAAATAAAAGGGGAATATACGGTAACACATGTATTTATTACAAATATTCTGCTGCTGCTGCGGTCATCTGTATGAGAGAGGGAATTCTTCATCTGCATGTATTCCACTCACCTCTTCCTGAACAAGTGGCCGCTCTGGGCAATGAGAAGTGTGACAGACATCAACCCCATGATGAAAATGACAAAGAATGCACTGCTGCGGAAAGAGTACGCCATTGCTCATCTTTCTGAGGAAGGAGCGTATGAGTATGTATACGGAAGATCACATTGTGAAGTGCCTTGTCTGCATCACGGCTCAGCTGATGGCTTTCAGGGAAAGTATCAGTCCTTTGAAAAAGTATGTATAAAAGCAGAGGCATGCATGTGTGGAAACATGTATTCATGATCATGATAATCATTCTAAATGGCTGCCAACTTGGAGAAAAGACCGAGAGTGAGGACTGGCATGAGAGCGCAAAACCCCAACAGTGTGGGGCTTACATGGCTTAGGGCGCCCACCCCAAAATTTTGATTGAGATGCTCTGTGGTTTGATTTGAGGTAATTTCCAATCACTTCAATCAATATTTGAGCTGAAGAGAATCATTATTCTGGGCTATGAATAGGGCTGAGTCAATTCGAATAATTCACTATTTGAATATTCAACCTTCAATTCGATTGAATAACCCAATATTCCGTCATACCAACTGGCAGATTGTTGATATATGTTGACCATATACAAAATCAGTCGCAATAATAAACAAAATTGTACACGTACATTATAATTAATCATAATAGCTTCTCACATCTAGGAGAACTAGTATCTCCAGCCTTGATTTAGCAAAATTTAAGAGATGAACTCTACTTCTTGCCCTGTTGAATATTTCTATTCCTTTTAAATTTTTCAATGAGTAATTTACTTGTTGAATCATTGTAAGATTTCTGTTGCTTTTCATTTGAATTTGCTTGAAACAATCAAGCCTCCATAGGGCAACTTTCGATGAATTTTGCATTCAAATATTCATATTCGGGAAAATAATATTTGAATATTTGATAATCAATCGAATATTCAGATATTCGGCACAGCCCTACTATGCAATCAAACATATGGGCCATATTGTTGCTGAAATTTTTTTTTCAGCCTGAGAAAACCCATGCGGGCCTGAGAGGTGGCAATGCATGAGCTTCATGCTCAGTGTTTGAGAGTTTGCAGCCCTGTGTTAGATCTCTACTAGTGTAACTTTGATCAAGGTCATTAAAACATGGTCTGGCATGTCTGGGGGAAGGAAACCCTCAGCTTAATAGGCTACAGTAATTTTATTTGTGCAATTCACAATACTCAACATTATATGATTTGCTAACCCCATCCATCAATGTTTTAATCAAAATTCACAGAGGGTAGGAGCTTCAATCATAATTCTTTACTCTATTCACAACATTTCATGATTTAATGCCAAACAAAAAGCCACCAAAATACCCCCTCCCCTAAAAAAAAAAGTAGCACACAGATTTCAATCAAATCACCATGATCACCCCTTGACCTTACGTTGTGGTGGACTTGTGTTGTGCAAAAAGAAAATTCCATTACATGATATGTTACCAATTCATTGCATCCTGCATTTATCATGTGTATTACCGGTGCACGAGACTGCTGCCGTCTTGTAATGATGCTTTTTGGTGACTCATCCAGCCATGTATCACCATCACTTAGTGTGCATGTATAGGGGGCCAGTTGCACACTAGCATAAGGCCCAAGCACGCTGTGCACTGCACCATCTTTTCCGGCTGGGGGCAACTTCCACAAACATCACAAAGTGAATGTCCTGTAGGTACGCCTACATCATACATGTACCGGGGGTATCAGTTTATTCTCAAGGCCTCGTTGATTGAAATAAATACCTTCCCTACGCAGACAACGATTCTTACCTTGTACAAGTTTTACCCATAACCATAGATGTATATTTCCATCGGCGTCTTCAACTTCTTGGACAACTGAATGAGAGGACCTCTTCAACTTTAAGCCATAAGCCTAAGACAATCTTCACGTCTGGTAATCCGACGTCCAAAAATAGTTGTACCGTAGTAGTACAGTGTACATGTATTATGTGTATGTTTTTTTCATTCGTCTGGGCTCATCCGCTGTCGATATTGAGGCCTCGAGGAAACAGCATTCAAGAAATAACTGGACATTCATGCTACAATGCTATGCTGCGTCGAGGGAGTAGTGTCGCGCCTTACACGCTGCAGTCTCTCAGGCAGATTCCTGGATACTGTCAAAAACTGCAAGAATAAAAACCATTAAGCTGCGTATCTTCAGGTTTAAGTACTTGGAGTATCTACACTTTTATTTCGGGAATCGGCCATTTACGGGTAGGTGTTCCGTGACCATGAAGACATGATGTGCCGGTAATTCGACTTTTGAATTTTGTACCTTTTGCCAGTTTTAACTTTTCTTTTAACCTTATTTCAATCTAGTTTTCATTACCACTGACTTTTAAATGTTGTGGGCCGACTCTCTACGTACCCTGGGCAAGGGAATACTATCAGTTACCAAGCAACAATACTAACATTCAAAATGAGTTGGCAGTGTGGCACGTTACATAAGCAAACCTCCAGTCTTATTTCCCTGCTATTGCGTGATTAGGTTGAACAAAATTGGTTAGAATTTAACGTTCTCAACATCCCCCATCAAACTGTCAAAAAATATTCCGTACCAGAGGTAATGATGGTGTAAATTGCTGATGTAAACATGACGAGTGCATTATACATGTACATGTAGTAGTACTCATTTGAATCAAACACAGGAGAGAAATATAACCCCTTAAAGTCAGTGGTGAAAAACATGAAAACAAAGTCTTCCAAGGCTGTCAAGCCTAATTTTGGACCCAGCCCTGTCATCCCCTTCATGCCTGTAGGCTGTACCTTGATTAGAGGCTCACATCTGGGCCAATAGCTGTTACATAACTGTTCTACCTTAGGTGGTTGTTTATTGTTGACGTGATAAAGGTGTGTCTCTTCTGTAAGCAGCTGTTTCCATTTTACAGTTTGAAACATTTTTTCCATTCATGTTTTTTTTACCAGGCAAATTGCACTCCTCAGCCTAGAGACAGTGTCAAAATCTGCTCAGGTACTTTAATTGTAAGGGTTCCTCTCATCTCAGGATATTTAAGTAGGTACCCTACATGTTATGTGTACCTGTGCTGTAATGTACAGAATAGTTTAACAGGCTAAGGACAACAGGGGGCCTTTTTGGTTGAGATGATGGATTATTTCAAGGTGTGGCAGTTGGGTTTTCATGTCTTTTTATCACTGATTCTTTAGTTGCTGATGGAGTCACTTTTACCTTTTCAAACCTTTTTGCTGAATCTAATGCAGTAGGTTTAATTTACCTGCACATATCTAACTAAATATTTCCTGCTAAAACATAAATCAAAGGCATTGTAGTTTTAACTCCAAAAAGGCTCTCCCACAATTAATGTTTAAAAAACCCAGTGGGGAAATACCAGTAGGAAGTGCATGAGGATGAAAAACAGGTTTTCTTATTCAGCCTCAGTCTCATACATGTAGCTGTCTGTGTTTCTTTTACAGGGATGTAAGAGTTCAGCTTTTTAGCAGATTTCAGCTTTTTTGTTTAGATCTTTACCCTGAATTTCAGCTTTTTTGTGCACCTGCTGTATACAAAAGTATGGGTACTTATTACATTTTAGCTGTTTTCTGTTTTAATTTTAAGTGGCCACTAACACCCCTGCTTTTAACAGAAATTTTTTTTTTGGTTAATTTAACATTTTCTACAGATCCAACTCAGTCACAACAACTTTTTTTACATTAGCTGAAACTGCACTCATCAAGTAGTGGCATACCTTGGGTAAAATTTTGGCAGTACCGAACATTTCAAGGGGGAACCAAAAGCCTGTGAACTGTGGCTTGTCGGTACTTGTGTTCATTTCAAGTTTTTGAATGGGGGGCACCCAGGGCTGGGGGATGCAGAGGGGCAAATGAGAATGATGGGATTGAAAAGTGCAGCAGTGAAGTGATCAAAAGTTTCTGTAAATTTGAGGCCAACCATTGTACCGATTACGAAACAAGCCTGTACTCTGCATTCAGAAGGCGTAAATGGGACAGTGACAAACCAACAGCGGTACATCCTCGAGCAAAATCAGCCACAAATGCTGCATTATGTAATCAAAACTGATAATGCTAATATTGATTCTCCAATTTCATGGCAGGGCAGTTTGAATGAAAGATGGTTACGGAAATCTATGGTTGCTCTTTTTACTGTCCAACTGGTGTTTTTATTTAGCTATATTTTAGGTTACTTTCTAATAGGTTATTGTCAAAAACATGTTAACCCTAAAAGAGCCACATGGGAGGGGGGTGCAGAATTGAACCTCTCAATATTTTCCCCAATATCCTCACTCTCTTGTTTGTTTACTAATGTTCACCCCCCCTTAGAGGGGCCCTCCTTTCTATAATTTGCAAGTATGCACTCCCCAAATCCATCCTTGGAAAAAGTTGTTCACGGTACCCGCTGCTACATCTGACTTGAACCAGCCAGCCGGCGACACCGGCAAGCTCAGTGGTCGAGTGGTTAAGACATCTGCACTAGTAAGCAGGAAATCATGGGTTCGAGTCCCACCTGAGTACACTTGTGGTTTTTTCACAAGCCTTCAGAGGCAAACACTGAGTATACAGTGTTATAAAATGTGTCAGGCTGGGCAAAAAAATCCCCCCCCCAAAAAAAAATTAGCATCCCTGGCACAAATCCGTCCTTGGAAAAATATGCACCCCTTCTTCCCTAATCACGGTGCCCTGGAATGATTCATGTACCACTACGTGTCTTTCAAAAGTCTTGAGTTCAACATTACCATTGTTCAAAGGGCCATGTTTTATCATCACACACGGTTGAAGCTACATGTATTGATTTTTTGGTGTGCCAACATTGTACACTATGCAGGTCCTGCATGTTAAGGTGCGTGTTTAGACTGTATAGACACCTCCAGGTTTTATAGTCTCATCTGTGGTTCTCATTAGAAAAAAGTCTTTACTTTTTGTCATTGTCCACAGTGCTTTATGATGTACATGTACATGTAGACCTGTGCCTTGTTACGGTCACCACAGTCACCATGACAGGGTGGTGCAAGCAGGCAGCTCTTGTTGGGCTGGGAGCTACTGTCCTGTTGATGGTCACTGTTGGCTACCTGGGATTCAATGATGTCAAACATTTAGTTGTTGACACTTCCTCTAAGATAAGGTGGGTTTGCAGGAGCTCTTGTGTGCTTTTCTTCTATGACATGGGAACTGCCTTATTAGTCTTGGTTTCTTTCATCTTGTTCCCGGTCTGGTTATTGCTCCCTCCTTTATGCTTGCTTGTTTCTTGTTTGCAGGGACACCTACCAAGTGTCACAGTTTGATGCAGTTGCTGAGTCCTTTTAAATGCATTCAGATCTCCACAGCTCAGAGATTTAATGACTCCCTGTACTTAATTTGTATACATGTACTAATTATTGTGCAGATGTGACATTATCTTTAAGACTAAAATTCTAACCAAGAGGGTAAGACATTAAATTCTGACAGTAATACATGCGCCTACACAACACTATGTGTACCTACCTGTATTGCTGCTTGGATAGTAATTCAATGAAAAAAAAAGCAATAGCAATATGTTGGAAAGCCCACTAGTCAGTTCCCAGGTGGTCTTGGGATGAATTCTGCATTACCCTGCATTGCAGGACTTTCAGGAAGATCCCTTACATAGTCAGCTAAAAGGCCACAGAGATAATTGTAAAGCCAGGGTGAACACAGTCTGGGTGTAATGATGTCAACTGTCGTTGACATAGCTTTTCCAATTAGGTCTGACAGAGTGCTCTGTGCCAGAAAATCTTTCAGCTTTGATATTCAGTGTGGCATAAAAGATATGGGGGAAGTGTGTAGTATGTCTGAATTTTCCCTCCAATTTTGGAAGACAAACACCAAATCCAGAAAAACGTAAGATTCCTGAGGTCCGGTGCCTGGAGAGCATGGATCTGCTTGTCCAGAAAATACCTTAGTTTGGTTTCTTTCCATATTAATCCACGTGTTCTTGATTTCAGAAAAATTAATTTATGGTGCCCATTCATGGTCTAAACGCTGTCACAAATTTAGAATGTTATAACTGAGACTTCCAATATTTTTTCTCAGTTCCAAGGCTAGGTCCTCCTTGCCCATCCTGCATAAGTTTGTTGAAGGAACTGCAGATAAATTGAAGGTTTGTGGCTTAAATAGGCAATATCAATAGTGCTTTCATAGATCCTTAATGGATTTATAGGAATTGTATATATATGTATGTTGCCATTTTTTTCTGGTTATAACACATGAACTGCAAACAACAGAATGGCAATTTTTTCATTCAGAGGTTACAGCACAGTGATTTAAGAGCATTTTATGTATTCGTATTCCTTATCTTTCTTTTGAGCTTTCTTTGTATTACATTTATTTAGTTAATATGGCCATAAATTTTTATTGTTGGAAAGCTTAAAGCGATAATATGCCGTCATTTTTAAGCTTGAATAGATGAAATACTTGTGTGTGGGGTTTTATTTCACCAAGCAAGGTGAAGCACCAATCAAGTTTGATCTTGTGAAGTTTCGAGTACGTTGATCAATATTTTCAATAGAGGGGTGCGAATGTACGTGTACCGGTAGGCTCCAGCTGTATTTTGCTGAGAGCATTCTGCATGTATTTATTGAGTTCGTTGGAAGCTTTAATCGCATTTATTTGTCACGTTTTCTTCCAGAATCTAACTGCCAGTGCAGTTTCCTCTTTTGTACCGAAAACAATCGACCTGAACACAAAACAGCATATCAGTTACGGCAGTAAAAATCCAGGAGACGCCCCACGGGGCATTTCAGTACCTCAGAAAGATGCCTCGTCTGATAATTCAACCTCCCAAGAAACTGCCCATGGCACAGGGGAGGCCCCTGCAAAGCAGGGACCTGTGAAAAGCTGCAGGGCCCGCTCCAACATCGTCCTCTTCAAGATGCACAAGTGCAGCAGCAGCACGGTGCAGAATATCCTGTTCCGCTTCGGGGAGGAACACCATTTGAATTTTGTCCTCCCTCCCGTGGGGAACTACTTAGGCCACTCGCCATTCAACAAGCGCTACATGATTAAGTTCCCATTGAAGGAGTATAACATCTTGTGCCACCATACAGTTTTCAATGCCAGAGGTACACAACTTTTCAAAGTGTGAATAGTAAACTATTCATACTTTATACAGGAAGCTTGAAAACTTCAAGATCCTAAAAATGTTACTGATATATAGTTTCTTTTGAAGTTACAAAAATAAACTACACGTAAAGATAGTGGTAACAAACTAAGTTGCCATAGAGCTGTTCCCAAAACGTTATTGATGGTCCATGATTGATGCACCATGGAAAATGGGCTAAAAATGAATGTTGAAAATTACTACAAACTCAGGTGACGGTATCATCTGGACCTCATTAATTTTTTTATTCCAAGAACAGACCATACTCACCCTCTGAGTTGTAATTTCTTAGATCTTTTCTTGATTTTGGGATTTCCCCTTCCCAATTCTAGAATTTTTAGAGGTTCAATTAGTCGGTATTGGTACTTCTTTGCTCTTTGTAGTACATGTATACTAAAGAAAAAAGTGCTAGGGTAAAGTACTATACAAATCATGCCTTGTTAGCTGTTAAGACTTGGCCCTGAAAAGGTCCCGTATTTCCTTGACATTGTTATAAACTCTCTGCCGAAATGGATTTTTCCTTGCACCCTAATCTCACTCCTGCTATTTTTCCCCCAGGTATGGCAGAAGTGATGCCTGTTAATAGCATTTATACAACCATTCTTCGTAATCCTGTCCCAATGTTTGAATCCCTCTTCACGTACAACAACATGGCTTACTGGTACGGCCTTCCAAATAGTCGTGCCTTGGAACTCTTTCTCAACAGGCCAAATTACTACTACAGAAAATCAGATGGAGGGATCCTACATGTGAAGAATCCAATGCTGTATGGGCTAGGGCTACCTAAAGCAGCCCTTGCCGATCCCCATGCAGTTGATCGGAAGATTGAAGACCTAAAGGGTCAATTTGACTTGGTCATGATTACTGAGTACTTTGATGAATCCCTGGTTCTGCTGCGCCACCTCATGTGCTGGGAACTTGACGACATTGTCTATTTTGTCCACAACGCTCGCAGCAAGTCGGCCGTGAAGACTGTGCCACCAAAGGTTGCTGCCAAAATCCGACAGTGGAACTATGGGGATGTGAAACTCTATGAGAGCTTCAACCGGACCTTCTGGCAGAGGGTTGATGCATTCGGAGTGGACAGAATGAAGGAAGAGGTCTCCAAACTAAGGGAAAGAAATCAGTATTACAAGGAGCACTGCATTGCTGAGGTAACAAACCAAAACTCTAGAGTTTGGCATCCTCAAGGCATCCCAATTGATAGCTTCCTATTGAGAAAGGAAGCGGCAGGGGATACGATGTGTGTTCGGATGGCAGAGCCAGAATTGCTCTACACTGATCATATCCGACAAGTACAGAAAAGTAGATATGGATTGCAATAGTTTGAATATCTAATAGTGCATTACATTTGTCTGAAAGTTTCGGGTACACGTATATCATGTTCACATTTATCTGCTGCATTTTTACCAAATCAATTGTATGTGCAGTTCTTTCAACAGTAAGATTAATTTATTTCAGGTTATTTTTGTGCAAAAATCATCAGTGATTTTTTTCTGTTCACTCGTGTGCTTTTACTTGCACTTCACCAAGTACAAAGAGAAACTGTGGGATTTTTGCACGCACATGTAGTTACCAGGAGAACTTGTTTCAGGTCACATGTGATGTGTAATGTTCTGTCATTCTTAATCTAATAGAAAGTTATGGAACTTCATCAGGAAAAACCAAAAATGAGCTATTCTTTAAGTTAAAAGAATGGAGATCAAGTTAGTTTAGGTCCCACCATTACTTTCACTTAATATTCACAAGTTTTTTATGTATATAAATTTTACATCATTGTGGTTCTTTATAAGAAATGAAAGAATTTTCTTATACAAGATGGCATATTCCTCCATCCTGTCAACATTGTAAAATTTGTCCGTTCATGGCATGCAAAAAATAATATGGGGCTAGTCTTTGTCATCAAAATTTGTGATTCTGTAATGCACCCGTTTAACCCTAAAAGGGCCGGGATGGAATCCGCCTTTCCCTTGATATTTCTTCCGATATCGGAGAAGTACATTTTTTAATGCTCGGAGCCTTCAGGAGCTTTTCTTTTTCAGCATACCATGCGATTGTTTTGACACCAATTTTCCAAACAAGGACCTATCGTCCTCGCGCGTCACCCATTTTCCCACCAATATCAGCCAAAAATCAAAAGATCAGCCAAAAATGTACGTTGCATACATGTACTTTATCCAATGATGTGCTTAATCCACGCGTGCAAACACGCGTGAGGCCTTAAAACACCCATTAGTTCGACTGAGTTAAAACTCATTTGTTCTGAAAATGATTATAGGCTTTTTGTAGTTATATGCCAAGTTTTTTTTTTAATCGGCAACATGAGACAGCTTAGGTATGGGGGACCGCATCTGCGCTATGAATGGCGTTTATTTAGGGTTAAACACTGCGTATTAAATTTGAAAACATACCAAAAAATGTGTGCTTTTACCAAAGAATATGTGTACATAAATATCTACTTAAAACTAATGTATGTAAATCGTGGGGAAATCGACTTTTTGAGAATGTCTTTCACACAAAGAATGCTGCATCAGATGTAAGTACGTCAGTGGTTTTCATTAATTTGTGCAAGCAACCCCACTAATTCGATTTTTTATAAGACGTACATGTAGAAGACAGACTAAAGTTTCAATAGCTTTATAATTTTATCTTACTTGTTGCAATTATATTGGAGTTAAAATATTTGCAGTGTAAACATGTTTCATAGAAGTGTGTAGCGTTTACTTTGGAAGTGGTTGGCAGTTATAAGCCCTATTTATGTCTGGTCGAGCTGACTGATGTACACGTAGAAGGTTGTATTTTATCATCTAAAAGTGCCAGTCTGTTTACATGTGTTTTAAATAAATCGTGTTTTATGAAAACTTGGAGCTAGTTTTACTGGGTGTGTGTATCTATATCCCAGGGTGTGTATCTATATTTTAGCGTGTTATTGTAAATAGTAGAAATATTAGGCCCTAACCCAAACACTCCCAAATCCTCCAATTTCAATACGATTTTACAGACACCCTAGGGGGTTAGGGCTAATACAGCGCATTTTTCCATGGGTGACAATGCGCTACAGTTGAACATAAAACTACATGTATGAGGTTGATCTTGAATATTTTTGTGTACATTCATCATAAAAGGCGGTTTGTCATTCGATTGTCACTCTATAACCTAATAATAGTATACTTGTGTAAACAACAGCAGCAACATTATTAACGGCGACTCAGACTCGGACTGTGTGCCTCAGTCTTCAAGTTTGTGAAGTTGGCGCACCACCTGGAATAAGAAATCAACGGCAACTAAACAGTGAGCTAGGGGCAAGTTGGTCACCTAATAGAGCAATTTTCAACGTGGAGAAAATCGGTACAACGTTAGAAAACAAAGTTGCGTCTTGCCAAAAAAGTGGATTAAAAAATATTGCGGGTCTAAGAATATGAGTACGGATGAGGAGAGGATTTTTTGAAACATTTTGCATCGCTGAAGTTGTCAGCGAAGATGACGAGGTGTGGCGACCACCAGGCATCGACATTGGTAGCTTCAAGCTGAAGCCTGAAGGTATGGAGAACAGAGCCTGCGTTCGAATGGCGCAAACTGAAACACCGTACACCGATCACATTCGTAAAATTAAAGTCCAAAGATATCGGAGGAGAAAGGGTAAAAACTCTTTTAGTGCATGGGAAAGATTTGAAGTTTATCCAACGTTTAACTTGCTTTGGTGTTGAAAATGATTGATTACTATACCCGGTTCGCCTCAGAATCCTCAACGGGTTGCTTCTCTTCTCCCAAATTCTTTTCTTTTTTTTTTTTGCATTACACTTTTTTAACCTCAAAATATTGTACATGTATGTGTGAAATACATTAAAAGTAATTGAGAATTCGCTAATTTGCGTCTGAAACTACTGTGTCATGTAGCCGTACCAATTTATCAGACTTGAAAGAGACAATTATACATTATCGCTTAATTAGCGTCTCCTCCAAAGACATAAGTAGTCCCCTCTTCAAAACGGATATTCTATGGCTAGGACTTCGGTGGATTTGCTGGTAGCACTCCGCTTGTCTTGGCCGAGACATGTCCGTCTTACACAGGCCAGATGGTATATAGAGGGATTGCACTTCGTGCTTTTTCGAAGGTTCTTGATCATGTTGTGGATGGTGTCTTTGTACAAGCATAATTCCCGCATTATCTAAACGTTCAATTTTTTAAACTCCCATTAAACGGTTCATGTGATTATGTTTTCTCACATACACTTTTTCAAAATATCTTAATGTACTCGTCTCAAATGTTTGAAAAGTGCACTTTTAACTAAAGCTGCCCGTGCTTTTGCAAATAATAGAGGACGATGTTGCTGCGTTGTCAATCAAAAGGGAATGGACAGAATGAAAGAAGAAGTCTTCAAACTAAGGGAAAGAAATCGGTATTGCAAAGAGCACTGCATTGCTGAGGTAACAAACAAAAACTCTAGAGTTTGCCATCCTCAAGGCATCCCAATTGATAGCTTCCTATTGAGAAAGGAAGCGGCAGGGGATACGATGTGTGTTCAGATGGCAGAGCCAGAATTGCTCTACACTGATCATATCCGACAAGTACAAAAATGTAGATATGGGTTGCAATAATTGGAATATCTGTTAATGTATTACATTTGTTTGAAAGTTTTACCTACATTAATTAGATTCATTTGCTACGTTTTGACCAAATCAACGCAGGAGAACATTGTTTGTGCAGTTCATTGGAACAAAGTAAAGGTAATCTATTTTGGGTGATATTTTATAAAAAATCATATTTTTTTGTTGGATACGTGTGCTATTATTTACACTTTACCATGCACCAAGCTAAACCGTAGCATTTTCGTACCTACCTGTAGTTACTTGGAAAACTCATTTCAGGTCACATGTGATGTGTAACGTGCTATCATTCTTATTCTGACAGAAAAAGTATAAGGTAAGTTATGGAGCTCCGTCAGAAGATACCCAAATGAGTATTTTATAGTCTTTGATAAGTCCTTCGAGTTAAAAGAGTGGAAATCAAGCTAGTTTAGGACCCCTATTGTTTTGACGTAATATTCACAAGTTTTATATGATAAGTATTCTACATCAGTGTGCATATTTACTGAGAAACCGAAATTTGTTTCATATTTCAGATAGCAAAGGCCTCTATCCTGTTAACGTTGTGATATTTGGTACATTGCATGCAAATGTAATATCATGGTTCTAGTCTTTTTCATCAAAATTTGTAATATTTTTGATTGAGCTTGGCGATTTGTTTTCAGATCAATTTTTTTATTTTAATGTTTGTCGAAGAGTGATACCCAGTGTGGGCAATTTGAAAATTTGGGTTGAAACATATAATGTACCTTTTAAACCATAAACGAGGCGGGCGGAATGTACCCTTCACTAGATATTTCTTCCGATATCGTTGCCAGGAGGTCTGGGGGAGAGGACTTTACCCTCCCCCCTCACTTTGTCTACCCCCACCCTATCCAAAATGCCAACAAATTAAATACATATAAAATGGTGGAAAATTACGGAAGCGTCCAATGGCCACCTGCAAAATGTTTTAGAGTTACTACCTCGCCGTTGCCGCGGCGAGTTAAATCGTTAATTGAATTTGTATCTCGAGTTATAGGATCTTGCTGCAGCGTCAAATTGATATCCCGCCACAGCAAATATTTCAATGCTTCACAAGTTCTGTTCAGTGCGCCGTTTTATCTCTTTAGGGTGAAATGCAGTGAGATTTGGTTTTAGATTGCTAATTGGAACAAAAGGGGATGTTACATTTCAACAAAGCTTGTTTTTTCCAACACAAAAGAAATCTTATTTTGTGCCACTGTGTGAATGTCCACATTCAGATGAGGGATAGACTGTTTTTAACTCCTCCCCACATTTTCAAAGTGCCAAATAGAAACAAGCGGACTTGAAAGGGGGCAAACCGTTTAGTTAAAACAATAACATTTAACTGCGGGGGGGGATTTTGTTCTGTTCCATTTCTAATTTTTTCCTTTCTTTGGCTGTTTTCTCCCCCCCCCGTTCTTCCAGGGTCCCCCCTCGTGTCGCTTAAGTAAATAGGATTATTTGTATAAGTATAAAATGAAAACCCATCGTAATCCTTTCAACAGTCATGACCACCAGGGAGTCAAAGTAATCTACCCCACTTCCGTATCTGGAAAATCATACCGCCTAAAGAGATTTCTTTTGTGTTAGAAATCAAGCATGTTTGAATCAAGCTTTGTTTAAAGCAATCTGAAACCCAATTTCAGTGCATTCCACCCTGATTATGCATGAATACGACAACACGCTAAATAAGATTTATGAAACTACTGAACCACTTGGAGCGGCGGGATTTCGATTTCACGCCGCTGCAAGATCGTATAACTCGCCGTGGCGAGATACCCATTCAACGATTTAACTCGCCGCGGCGAGATAGTAACTCCCTGCTATCTCGCGCGGGCGAGATAGCAACTCGAAATTTGTTTTTACAAGAGGCCCTTATACGCCTCCGTAGCTGAGGTATTGGGATGCCTCCCTTTTTAGGGTTAAAATTTTTTAATATGTCTGAAAAAATGAGCTTTTTTCCAAAGAATATGTGACTGTGTACATAAACTGTTTATAAATCTAATGTATGTAAATCGTGGGGACATTTTTTGAGATTGTCTTTCTCACGAAAAATTCTGCATCAGATGTAAGTACATCAGTGGTTTTCATTAATTTGTGCAAGCAACCCCACTAATTCGATTGTTTTATAAGACGTACAGTAATTTCATTTAACTTACTGCATTTATGTTGGAGTTATAATATCTGCAGTGTAAACATGTTTCATTGACGTGTGTAGCGTTTGCTTTGGAAGCAGTCCAGAGGTATTTGTGTGAGGTCGAGTTGGTGTAGATGGTTGTATATTTTATCAAAAAGTGCCAGTCTGTTTGTATTAAATTAATCGTGTTTATGGAGAACGCGGAACTAGTTTTACTGAGTGTGTACATCTGAAACCTGTCACTGTAAATAGCACAAGCGTATACAGCTCATTTTCTGCGAGTTAATGCATTAATTGTACAGAACCATGAAGTTCACCTTGAATGGTTTCGTGTACATTTATCATAAAAAGGTGGTTTGTCATTCAACTGTTCACCCTTTATTATGCAGTGTAAATTATATAAACGGCAACTAAATTGCAACAGCACCAAACTGCAAGTCGTGAAAGCTAGGGGCAGCCCCTTGAGAATAATGCATGGGAGGGGGCAAGTTGGCTATACCTTATCGAGCAATTTTGAATGTGGAATAAAATCGGTGCAACGTCAGAAAAAAAACTGTTGCGTCCCGTAAAAATATGTATTAAAAAATTGCGGACCTAAGAAGATGAGTACCGTTTCCGAATGTTGGGGTCGTGAAAAAGTGACTGCCCGACAGTGGACTGAAATTTCTGCCCCTCCCGGTAACCACCTACCGAAGAAAAATAGGACGATTGTGGTCATGTGTGACTGTCCATGAGGAAATTTAATGGAGGCATCTCCAACTTTCTAAACACTTATAGTTACGTGATTTCACCACTACGGAGGAGTGCATGACAGGGGTAGCCATAATCCGGTCCTGTCTCCTACGACACGGCTTCGAATTTTGATCAAAAGAGGCAGTGGTGGAGAGCCGTAGCCAGTGTTCGATACTTGTACATGCCCTAGGCTCACATGGAGACGCCGCACCGTGTGTTGCTAAGCACAACATAAACCGTTAAAAATATTTCTTGTAGTTTTCCTGAAGATATTCCCCCACTTATATATTTGCAATCGACGTTTGTAATGACACACATGATCAAGCCAAAAGTGCAGACGTTTTTTAAAAGACACATTTAGCCATTTCATACAACAGCGTATTAGAACTGAGTATTGTCCCTA